AGCAGACCTCAGGCTGGTATTCCTGATAAATATAAATGCAAAAGCTGTCTATGAAATGCTAGTAGGCCAAATTCAACAGCACGTTGAAGGATCACGCACTGTAATCAGATGGTGTTTATGGACTGGATGCAAAGATAGTTCAACTTACAAAATCAGTGATCATTAAGAACCACATTAATAGAATGAAGAATGCAAAAAATGACATGATTATCTTCAGTAGAGGCTGAAAAGACACTGAGAAAAATGTAAGATTCCATCACAATAAAACTTGCAACAGCTAGGACAGAAGGAAATGCCTTAGGAGAGAAGGCCACACATGAAAAGCTTTCCACTGTTGAGTACCTTAGCTGAGGGCCTTTGGTGCATGGCCTTAATATGTTTCAAAATATGTTACAAAGTTACAGTCATGAGTAAAGGCAGACAAATGGATCAGAGAAGCAGACTGGAAGCCTGGGAACCAGTGCTTACCTGTGTAGCACTTGGTCCACTGGCAATGCCAACCCTGGTTGCTGATCAATATCAGCGATCAGGGTGGACCGGCTGATGTACCACAGAATGGTATTTGCACAGTCCTGAAGGTCAGAAGTCAAGGTCACCACAGCAGCAGCAGGTTAGGAGCTGGGGAGGGGCTGCTTCCTGGCTCATGGGGACCATTTTTGTGCTGTGACTTCACCTCATGGAACGATGGAGAGCTTTCAGGGGTCTCTCTCATGCAGCACGAATCCCATCCACTCTCATCATTGGATGCTGGGTTTCCACACTCACATTTTAGGGAGACGCAAACATTCAGTCTATTGCATATCCTACTGGAAGCAACCTGAAGCTGCAGCGTGAACCCTGTTGAAATCCCAGTGACCAAACTGGGTGCAGCAGGGATGTCTGTGACCCCAAGATGCTCAGCCCAAGGCCGTCCCAGGCACGTGGTCGGCAGAACCCTGCACTGAGACAGCACAAGTGAGACCGTGAATGCTCAAGGTACAGCACTCGCGTTGCTCGATCAGGCCCCAGATCCATTCCTCACCACTGAAGCAGAGAGAAAGAAAGAAAGAAAGAAAGAAAGAAAGCCCCAATGGCTTTTCCATATGGAAAGAAGTCTCTGAAGTGTAGTCTCTGAAAGAAGTCTCATAAATATAGAGCTACAAAAGACCAGAAATGAATTATTCTTGAGGAAGGGCAAAGTGTTGAACCTCTGGTTTCTTATTTATTTACTTGTTCAAAGCAGTGTTTTGCTATGTGGTTCAGGCTGATCTCAGACTCACCGTGTAGCCCAGGCTGGCCTCAAACCCACAGGTAGCCTCCTGCCTTGGCCTCCTGAGTGCTGGTACCACAGGTGTGCACCACCACGCCCAGCATCTCTGAGGTCACAGTGTCTTACACTCCCCTGTTTTCAGAGCACTTTTCAGGGTAGCCAAGGTGTGCAGCGCACCTACCCGTCCACGGAAGAGATGCATGGAGAAAGGCAGTGCAGTAAAGACACACTCTGGAGGATTGTTCGGCCACAGCAAGTCTCTCCGCTGCACATTGTTACCTCTTCTAGGGCAAAGCTGCAGAGCCACCTGCAGGAAAATGTTGAATCAGAAACCTTGGATGATAGAGATTATCTTTTTTTTTTTTTTTTTTTTTTGTCTTTTTCATTTTTATCGGTACCGGGGATTGAACTCATGACTGCCTGCTTGCAAGGCAGGTGCTTATGCCACTGAGCTAAATCCCCAGCCCCGATAGAGATTATCTTTGAACTCTTTGTAAGCAAAACACCAGGCTCAAACGCTTGGACCAAGCGAAGAGGGGATTGCTGTCTCCTGCCCTGTTCTTTAATCATGGTTCTACTGTACTCCCCGGATCCTCCACAGTGGAACTCTGGGGTGGAGGTGGCCCTGCAGTGCGCTGCAGCGATGCTGGCAGCCTGAGCCAATGAACAGCACTGAGCCGGCCAGTCTATCCCCTCCCATCTGTTGGTTAACCAAGCTTCTTTTGGCAGAGGGTGGGGGAGGTACTGGGGATTCAATCCAAGGCCTTTGCTCTAAAAGCTACGTTCCCAGACCTTTATATTTTGAGACAGGATCTCACTAAGTTGCTACATTGCTTTGTGTGAATTCCAGTGAGACAATCTTCTTGCCTCAGCCTTCCTGAGTTCTGGGATCACGTGCACGTGTTGCCATGCTTAGTCTAATCTTGCTCTTTAGAAACTTCTGACACTTGTGAGAAGGATAAAGCAGTGTCTGTCACATGAGGCCATGGAAGTGTGGCTTTAGTGTAGGTGGTACATTTGGGGCCTATGGACCGCTCCCCCGACTCTTGTGAACCTGAGCAATGCCCCGAGCCAATTCCCACCTTTGTCCTGAGGCCTACAACCCAGGGGCAGAGATGAGATGCCTGCAAGCCAGGTCCTCTGGCAATAGTCTTTCTTCACCTGGAGCTCGTCCAAGTTCATGCATATGGACAGCACCTCGTACAGCCAACTACAACGGAGTGAACTATGGGAAGGACAAGTACAGTGGACACAGCCGACTGGAGCCAGTGCCCCATCAGTCACACTTGGAAGACCCAATGGGAGGCGCCGTAGCCCTGGCATAATATTTTACATTCTTAAGCCTGGCAGTGTGAGCCCAGCCCTCTGCCCTTTCCTTACCATTGTGTGTCACGTCCAGTTCTTCGTTGCCACATACAAAAGCCTGGGAAGCCATGTGTGGCCCCTGCACCTCTGGCAGCAGCCTGGTACACAGTGAGGTTTTCTGTCAAATGCACCCATGACTAGGAATATTCCTAAAATCTGGGATGCTGGTCGGCTGAGCTTACCGGGGATCGAACTCATGACTGCCTGCTTGCAAGGCAGGCGCTTATGCTGCTGAGCTAAATCCCCAGCCCCAGACCTAGAGATCTGGTCGCCACCTGCTGTCTGGCTTCCTTGTTGAAGATGCAGCTACTGCCTGGGTTTGGAGTGAGGCTCCATCCAACATCAGCTGTCCTGCTAGTGGCCGAGCAGCTGTCACTACCCACCATGACTATGGGGTCCCCTGGCTGGGTTTCTGCACGATGCCCCATTTCCTGGTCATTGGCCTGCAGAGAGCAGGCTTTCCCCGTTTGTGGTTTTTCTTATTTTAAGCTTTACAATCTAGGCCTGTGGGCGGTCCTGGCCCTCTTTACTGTCGCACTGGGTGTGACGCAGGGTGCTTTCCTGACTGCAGGCCCCTGGCTGTCTGCCTCCTTGCCCACCTCTAGTCCGCTGTCCTGTGATAATCTGCTGAGTTCTGGCCAGGGCAGTTAGTTGTACTTAGAGGGGAGAATTAGGGAAAGGGGAATTTACACAAAGGTCTCTCAGAACTGGAAGTTCGCTCCCCTTTTCACAGCAGGAAAATGTCAACATGAGGCGCAGTGTGAAGGGCAGATCTTTGTGTTTCCTGAAGAGCTTCATGCCAGAGTGATACACGGCTTATGCGAGGGCCTCCCCCTTACGTTACTGTGTCTCTATCAGCTCTGTGCATGTGCGTCTAAAAGGGGTGACAGAACTCAACAGCGAATGTACGAACTAAAAAAACCGGCTCTCGTGATGTGTAAAAGAGCACCTGGTCTTTGGGCACACTTGGACACAACCTTGTCACTGGGTGAACGTCCTAGGGCTCCTTTCCCACCCTTGGTGCCCCAAACAAAGAATCGAATGGACTGCAAGGTGCACATGCATTGAAGGTGGAGGAGAAGCTTATTCCGCAGAGTGAGCGCTGTCAGGTGTGAAGGCTCACCATGGCCTGGAGGACAAGGGAGAAGAATCATTTGTCTCTGAAGTGGTTGTGTCAACTCCCTCTCCACAAAGAAGGCATTGGGACAGTCCTATCAAACACCGGCTTGGCTTTTGGTGGTAGGAAAATGAAGGATGAAGGATGCAAATGAATGATTGAAAAGACCAGCTCTGATTGGTCCTTGTACATCACCAGAATCAAATAAAGTGTAAATGGTACTTTTCTGATTGGCTCTGTGCAGAGAGACAGTGATGTCACTGTTTTGGAATTTCTCTCTTCCCAGGAGTGTCTGTCAATCTGTTGCCCAATCTTACCCCAGGAAATGACTAGATGCACCCAGATTTTCTGGGGTGATTGAATGTAATTGGAGCTGTACATGTAAAGGAGAGGCAGTTCAGCCTCAGCAGGGCACACGGGCCTGTCCCTCCGCCATGAACCACTCCGGGCTTCCTGTCATGGCCTCTGCCAAGGAGATGGCCAAGCGCTGAGCTCCTGTGTTGCCCTCCCTGCCATCCACACTGCCAGCCTCAGTGCCCCCAAGCTCTTTGCCTTGCCATCCCTGTGCAGGTGTGTTACCTGATCCATGACTGCCTGACTCTCAGGGTCTCTAGGGCAGTGGTGGTGAACCATGGCACACATGCCACTCTGGGCTGTTTGTATCATTGAAATCTCCAAAAGGTTCGCCCTCACTGCCATAGGGCCTCTACTACGCTCCTCTTTGTAACTTAACGTAATCATTTGAAATGTGGTGTGTGACGAGTGTTACAGATCCTAGTGATTAAGATTAAAATTGGACAAAAAATTTAAATCACTAGGCTTGACTCCAAGTGAACCAGGAGTACTGGTGAAATAAACCAGTGAACTGAGGTAGTGTGCAAATCTACTGGCATTCAACAGATTTTGGCACTGTGGAAAGACACAAGTGTAGCAGTCTTTACTGGTGTATCTCACTTCATGATATACATGTGCCTAGGCACGCACACATATTTTTGAATGAACTAATTTTGGAAGATTAGTAAAATGAGCTCCTGAACGGAAATCGAAGCTACCATGAGGCTGTGAAAGGAACACGGGCTCAGGCATCGTCTGGTTTAATCCCGAGGTTCAGGCCACGGTGCCACCTGTCTGCCGCGGGGCTGTGCTCTCCGCACACAGGCCTGTCCCTAAATGTGGGAATGGTGTTGGCATGCTGTGCAGGTCCCATCCCGCCAGAGATTCACTGAATTTGTTCTGACTGCAGGAACTTCAGAAGTTGTATCCACAAAATGTTGCTAGCAAAGTTTTCTTTATTTGGTTTCCACCATCTTGCGAGTCATATCTGGGGGAGGAGCACATCCCGGAAAGGGGAGGTAATTGATCTTTGGTGAGATTTGGTTAGAATTTCAGGAAAGAATCGATTTGCTTCTGGAGTTGTCTAGGCTGCCCTGGCTGTGTATGTGCTGCCCCGGCTTCACGAGCACTTCATGGTAGAGTAAAGGACGTGAGCAGATTAGACAGACAGACCCCTTCTGCACACACAGTTCAAACAGCCAGCCCTTACCGTACACGGCACACACGAACAGGCACAATGTCCTGGTCAGTCACACGACACAAGTCCAGTTGAGTCCGAGTCACCCCTGAACTCAGGTCCCGCTGAGGCAGGCAGCAGAGGTGTCACCTTCCTAGGCCACAGTGTGCGGCTGTCAAGCAAAGCTCCGCTGTTGGTGCCTTGACATGCAGCTCTTCTGTTCCTCCTTAGCGGTGGTGTTGTGGTGAATTTCCAGCCGTCTTCTCTGTCCCCCCAGCTGTGGTAGTCTTGGGGTGCTGCTCCTATAGCATTGTGGACTCCCCTCACCTTGGTCGCCAGTGTGCTGTGGTGCCATCGTGTGCTTGACGTGACCAAACATGTCCAGGTGATCCTTTTCTTTTAGCTGAATACTCACTTGGCACTGGGCACTTGGGTGGGAGGTTTCCTCCTCCTGGCTCTGTTTATTACCTTGGGCTCTACTTCTCCCCAGCATTGCTAGACCTCCCTTAGAAACGTCATTAGTGGGGCTGGGGACTTAGCTCAGCGACATAAGTGCCTGCCTTGCAAGTGCCGGGTCGGTTGTGAGTTCGATCCCCGGTCGCGATTTAAAAAAAAATAAGTAGGAACCTCTTTAGTACAAGCTGTTAATGAGTGACACTCAACTTCCAGTGGTCCCGACTATTATCACTCTCTTTTCTATTCTAGTGATTACCAAGATAAAGAAGAACTTCCCGAACAATACAATAATAAAGAGCATAGGAGAGGGACTACCCAAGGGACCACACCCTCAGGGCTGCTCCCGAAGCTGTGGGCTGCTGGTTGTGGCAAGGTCTTGCAGAAGGAGCTCTGCTGTGCAACCAGCTGTGTCCATCTGAATGTGATGGGGGTCGGCTGACAGAGGCCACTAGGAAGACCGTGCTCTCCCACAGGGAAGGACATCTGTTTTGGTTTTCAGTAAGAGTCAGTCTGCCCTGAAACAGGACACTTTCCTTTAGGAAATCGCTGGGTAGCTTGATATCCACAGTATTCCAGGGCCTGGGACGCAGAGGGCCTCGTCACTCCTAGTGTCTGTGCTGTGTGACCCTGCTCTGCAAGACCCTTTTGCACTGAGCAACACAATTCAGAAATCCCTCTGTATCCAAATTTCTGCTCTAAGGCAGAGACCCCAGGGAGAGACCCGGGAGGGTAGCTCACAGTTTCGGGGGAACAAAGCAGAGAGCCAGCCAGCCAGGACCATGTGAGACCCACCCAGACTTACTCTGGAGCATGTACTAATGGGCTAGATGTTTCTCAATCCACTTAAGGTGACAAATCAGGACCCCAGAGTGCACACACCCCACCACCTGACAGCTGAGCTCCACTCTCGTTGCACACACGAGCCTGAGGACTGGAGCGGAGCGTTTACCCTTCCCTGCTTAGCTGGGACCACTCAGGTGCAGTTGTGGCTATGCGTCAGTGTGAGGCAGTGGTGGCTCACGTGGGGTCTCAGGGACACAAACACCCCTCATTCCGGCCTGGCCAAGTCTCCCACCTCTTTGCCCAAGCCTCAGTGTCCTTTGCAGTGTGGAAAGTTGCAAAGTGGCATCTGCCCTGGGAATAGGTCCAGGGCTGAGAAGCGCCCCTCAGAGAGCTCAAGCAGCTATCTCTAGCACCAACGGCTGGATAAGGGGTCTGCACTGTGACTGGCCGGTGCCTTTTTGCAAAGAACACCTGTCTTTAGATTTCTGCTCCTCCATCCAGAAGGCTCATCCCAAATCCCAAAAGTGTTGGAAGAGGGGCCCTAGCCGTGGGAGAGTTGTGTCTTGGGTGGACCTTGAGTCCATGCATCTTTGAGTCCCTGAGTCTGCTGAGCAGAGAATGACAAGCTCTTCGTGAAGGGCCAGGGCATGCAGCTGCCCCACTGGTGCTGGTGCTTGGCTGTAAAATGCATGAGAGGAGAAAACATCAGGGCAGAGAAGAAACATTCAAACAGGAAGCAGGCTGGCAGCGTGGGGAGGGCAAAGGCTGGGGCCCTGGCACCAAACCAGGCTCAGCATTGTCTCCACGCTCCGTGGAGCAGTGCCTGCTGCCACTGTTTCCCGAGCCCTTACAGCCTCTGCTCCCTGGGCAAGGCCAGAGCACGGCTGCTTTCCCCAGGGCCAGGTAGACCCTGCTCCTTTTTGAGTGGAGTTTCCCCATATCCCAGCAGCAGGCCAGCTTTGATCTTGGGGAAGGGCCTGGCCTGTGATTTCAGTGCTGAGGTTTGGACTATGGCACAGAGAAACTTTCTCTCTGAGGATCCTTGCCAGGAAGAACGGGGCATGGGAGGGCCATCCAGGGGCCCGTTTCTTCTAACTGGTGTGGCTGTAACAGCTTTTAGGGTGTCAGTGAATCCCATTACTTCCTCCTTCCCAGTGGCTGGCAATGGGGCCCAGGTTCCTTTAAATGTTCTTGGCATGAGTCAGCTTTGTCCTCCCTGTGCTTCCTTTCTTTTTCGTGGAGGTCAATGTTTTCCCTCTTCTGCCTCCCTTAAGCCTAGTGGCCCTGCAGGATTCCTAGGAAATCCCTGAGTGAGTGCAGAGCAGAGGACCAGGAAGTGGGGCGCTGAGGTAGGCACACGAGCCCAGCGTGCTCAAAGCGAAAGTGAAAGCACTTCCCAGCCTGGGCTGCAGGGGCCAGAGAATTCCTTCCCACCTGACAGCCGCTGAGCAGCCAGTGCAGGGGTGCGGGGATGTAGGGCTCTGGGAAAGGCGGCAGCAGGTGAGTGGCTAGCGCCCCCAGAAAGCCTCTTCCTGGACCTCTGCTCTCTTCCCTGAGATCGTGGGGACACGTGCCATGGCCTCCGTCTGACCCCAGCAAGCCTTGGCCACAGGGTCAGGCTGCAGCCCAGGGTGTGTCCTCTGCTGGGCTGGGACAGACTCTATGGAGTGCAGAAACCTTTGTTTATCTGCTTGCGTTCACTGCCTTTCTTGCTTGACTCTGGGCCAGAGCTGAGTTAATTCTTCTGTGAGGTTTCTGCTGGCGTCCTCAGCCCCTGTCCCCCACCTTACCTTCTGTCCGTGCGCCCCAGAGATAACTCTCCCAGCGTCCTGAGGTGTCCACCCGGTGTGTTGCCAGGTGGCTCTGTGTGGTGTGCCGGCACTGTTTTTCAGCATGAGACCCTGGGAAGTGATTCTCTGCTCCTGGTCTCCCTCCCTCAGAGGGACTAATGCTTCTTGCTGGGTGCAGTGAGGCTGCCAACCCTTGTCATGCGGCATTGCTGAGTACCCAGGACGACAGTTGTTAGGGATTATTATCACATACCAACTCCAGCTTTATTATACTTTGCTCATTATGCTTCTCACTTTTAAGAATTATAAAAACTCTTCTCTTTAAATTTGGTTTACCTGGCCAGATCCCAATTTCAAACTAATACATCATGTCCCACAATGCATAGTATACTTTTAAATTTATTTTATGGACACATGGTCATTGGATGTCATTGTGGGGTACTGAGGGATGATTCCATAAACATACATAATGTCTAACAATCATATCAGGGTGATGCAAATTTCATCTCTGACAAATCCTATCCGAGAACAGATGACAGAGGACTTGGCTGTGCAGAGCCGGAAAGGTTGCTGGCGATGGCGTGCGTAGATGCTTGATCACTCTGAGCTCGCCTGATTCACCTGGCAAGTCTTTGCCAACCCAGTGCCCCAAGTGATATTTTGCATTTCGTGGGGCACCAGTGCTTTTGAGTGGGTGGGCTATGCTGTTTGAGAATTCCTGTCAGGGACCCGGAGTCTGTGCCTCCGCCCTCTGCAGAGCTTCTCTTTCTAGTTGGTGGCAGACAGGCTTTACAGGCCCTGTGCACGTGACCGTAAAAACTACACACTGCTCTCAGGCCGGAACAGGAACTTGTCTCCGGCAGAACGGTCGAGTGGGGTGGAGACTGCAGAAGCCAGCAAGCACTTCCTGAGGTAGGCTTAGCCATGCTCTGGGTTTCATTCTGCTCTGCGAGGTTGGTGCAGCACACTAGATGGAAGTGAGCGCCAGAGAGGGGCTGGTGTCCTGAGGTTGCATCTGTCGAGCCCCCCTTTTCACACTCACTCAGCCCCTCTGAGGTGAGCCCAGCCCCTGAAAGCTGGTGTCCTGTCCAGGGAAGCAGACAAGGCAGCTTCACAGACCTGGAGGTGCTTGATTTCTTTTTGTTCCTCTTAACATTGTGTGTGTGTGTGTGTGTGTGTGTGTGTGTGTGTGTGTGTGTGTGTTCATAGTCGTGTCCCCAGGGCCCGCTTCTGGTCAGAAGGTGGGAGGAGGCCTTTAAGGTGGGTCTGGGGTGCAGAGCTGGGATCTGCACTGTGAGGGGACACAGAGCAGGCTGGGGGCGACTCCCTGGCAGTGAGTGGAGGGCAGGCAGCATCTGCAGGTCTGACAGCAGAGAACTCAGTCAGTGGCCTCTGCAGGAAAACATCAGTTAACATGTGGTGAATGCCCCAAATTTTTTGAAATCCTGAAATATGAGAAGAAAGCATTCTTGGTTATCATCACTCCAAACTTCTCACTTGAAATGGGGAATGAGGCCTTCAGGTAAAATGATTCATCCAAAGTCATGCAGCCAGAGCCAGGGCCCAGCACCTTACCCTGAACCCAGGCCCTCTGGACCCTCAGCCCTGGTCCCTGTATCTCTCGGAGGTCTCCCTCGTGCCTGGCCTCTTTTTGGTGGCTGGAGCAGGAGCCAGCACTCCTCCAGTCTCTCAGACATGAGTTCCTCTTCCTGTGTGTGACTCAGGAGTTTCGAAAGCAGGAAGTATGTAAAACACTGTTTTTTGTGCTGCTTTTGCTCATCTCCAGTGAGAGAGGACTCCTCCTCCTCCTCCTCCTCCTCCTCCTCAGGAAGCAGGGAGTGCAAGGGGTGAGGGCGCCGGGATTTGTCTCTATTCTCTGGTTCTAGAAGTTTCTGGAGCTGAGTGCTCTGGAGGTGCATGGCTGAGAAGGTCCCGTGGTCAGGTGTGGTGGGGAGGCAGGGAGCTGAGTTGTGAGGTTCCCATCCCTCCAGATCCGAGTCACCCCTACCTGGCTCGAAGGCAGGGCAGCCTCTCCCAGCTCTGACGGCTGCGTCCTGTCTCTACCTAAGCGGTCAGAGTGGAAAGCAACCCTGAATCTCAACCGTGGCTGCTACTGCTGTCCTGCACACAGCACTGACACACACATGTACACACACACACCCCAGCATGTGCACACAAGCACACAAATGCATATACAGATACCACCACACACCAACGCACAGCACACCATCACATACACCAACACACACACACACCAACATACATGCAACATCGCACACACATATGCACCCAAACACGCGTGCCACCACACATTCCTAATATGCACCATCACACACACACCTTCACCACACACACATCAGCACATGTACACAGACACACACACATCAACAGATACCCAGTATACACACCACCAGCACACATACCAACAGACACACGTTAGCAATTCCGTCTCTTTATTTTAGAGTTGGAAGACGTGGAACAGTGTAAAACCTGTGGGTACAGCTGTGTGATGGCGGCATCCTCCAGCAGAACCCTCAGTCCCTGTGGCTGTGGCAGGGTGGTGGGCTGAGGGCTTTGCAGCCTGGCCCTAGGTCTGGGCCTAGGGCGTGATGCAGCTGGCAGGCTCGGTGCCCATCCTTGGCCCGGAGAGATGCCCCCAGGGCCGGCCAGGCGGGCGGGCTACAGGTGCCCGCAGCACTGCCCCAGCTCCGGTGCCAAGCGTGGTGCAGCCAGCTTGCTCCTGGAGGGACTGGCAAGGGACGAGACGGTGGCCCAGGCTCTGGGGTCAGCGCCAGACTCTAGCACCTGCCTTGTTGCTTTGCCTCTGCTCTGTGGTTCAGTTCTCCTGGGTTTGTGGTGGGTTTTCTTTTTTCTTTTCCTTTTGTATTTTTAATCAGTAAAAATCCTTTATTCTTTCTTCATTGAGTTTTCTCACCTTCCTGCAGCTGTCTAGACTCAAACCCTGGCTGTGGCTGCCGTGAAAGACCCAGGCTCTTGAGCAAATGTGCCATGAATGCTTTCCAGATTCTAAAACTCACGCTGTAGGACAAAAACTAAGACTTCAAGATGTACTTACAATTTTTTTTTTTCGTTTTTATTGGTACCAGGGATTGAACTCACGATTGCCTGCTTACAAGGCAGGCACTTATGCCGCTGACCTAAATCCCCAGCCCTGTACTTACAATTTTATTAGTGGAAAAGTCCATTTACACTACAGAAATATGTGTTCAAACACAAAGAAAAATATAGATGATAAAATAATACCAGCTACTTGTCTTTGGGTGATAGAACTACAGGAAAATTTCCTTTTGTTTGTGTCATTTCTGTATTTTCTAAAATGAATACAATAATTGTTACCACCGTGATGTTCCCACCATCATGGAGGGAATCAGGGATGTGTGTCTTTCATATGTTCTTTGGTGGATTTTTTTTTGTGAGACAGAGGCTAAAATGGATTTACATTTTTAGGGGTGGTTGACGTAGTGCAAGTGAACAGGGCCGGCCCCAGCTTAGCTCCTTCCTGGTCCTGTGTATGGATGAGAACGACTCTGAGAGCTTTCACTGAGCTCTGCGGATGTTTAGAACGAGTAACACAGCCACACGGTGACAGCTGCGGCTGGACAGACACGGGGCAGGTGAGGACACAGCGGAGCCGTCTGCCACCCCAGCCTCCTGCAGCCCAGCCCACAGCCCCAAGCAGAAGCACACAGGCAGTGACCGCCAGGCAGCTCGCCACGTGGGCCGCCCATTGCCTGACGCGACCTTCCCCCTTCCAGGGCTCCGTCAGTGCTGATACACAGGTGTCCCTGCTCTTCTTCTGTTTTAAGCAATGTGTAAAGAATTCTTTTCACTTTTTCTGTTTTTGATACCAGGGATCGAACTCACGACCTCGCACCACTCGCGCTTGCCAGGCAGGCGCTGACCCCGCTGAGCTAAACTCCGGCTCTTTTTAACATACTTTGATTATACTTTCTTTCAAGTGAATGTAGGGAAAACCCCTAAAAACTGAATTGTGGGATCCAAGTACATTTTGTATTGAGAGAGGGAGAGAGCGAGAGGAGAACAGAGGGAGAGAGAGAGAAAGAGAGAGAGAGACAGACAGAGACAGAGACGGAGAGACCCGAAGTACCTACCTGTCTGTCCTTACATCTGCTGTCTCACAACGCTGTATTTTAATTTGTGTACTTTGCCAGTTTGGTAGTTGAAAATGTTCCTTTGTTATAATTCCAATTTGATTTTTTTCTTCTTGTAAGTGAAATTAAGCATCTTTTCAGATGTTTAAAAAAGATTAGTCTCAAAACACAATGTCACAGATACTTTTCTCTGAACTGTCTGCTTGTGGCCCTTCCTGTTTGTGTACTGGGTTGCTGGTCTTTCTTTTTCTCTACTTTTTTTTTTAGTTTATTTACAGAAATTTTATTTTAGGAAAAGTAACCTCTCCTCTTTGAAATCATATATATTGCTAATTTTATTTTTTAAGTTATCTGGTGTATTTTTGCAGAAAATCTTACTTGGAGTGTAAGGACGTCAGTATTTTCTCCAATGGTTCTCAGATTTTTTGTTAGATTTCCAGTTTTTCACCTCAGCCAGAGCACCTGAAAAGCTACCTTGTGTTTTTCTTGGTACTTCTTGAAGGTTCAGATCTTTGCTCCAGTGCAGTCTTCTGATGTAGATGCTCTGCTAGGATCCATTTCAGTTTGCTTGAAAAACCCTGCCCAGCCAGGCATTTGGCACATGCCTGTCATCCCAGCACTCAAGAGGCTGATAGGAGGACTGCGAGAGTTTGAGGCCAGCCTGGGCTACAGAGTGGGTTCAGGGGCAGCCTGAGCAGGAGCGAGACCTTGTCTCTCTCTCTCACACACACATACGCACACGCATGCACATGTGCGCACACATACACACGTGCACACACACACACATCCCACAGTGGGTCCGGCTGCTCCTGCGCTTGCGTTGCAGAGCCTCCCGGGGTGCGCTCTTTTCCAGGCTTTTTCTGTTTGGGCCACTCTTTGCAGTCAATGCCTGGCACCGTTGTCTTCTAGGCACAGAATGTGGGTTGCATTATTTCAGCTTTGGGGAGACCCACACAGGTTTGCTTCCCAGTCAATCTGTGGGTAGCGCTGTGTGCTGGCGCAGGGCACCGTGCTCTCTGCCACCCGGCCGTGGGGTGGGATATGCCAGCAGTGCTGCTTGCTCTCCCCTGCTCCTCCTTCTGCTTGGGCTGGTTTCTGAAGGGTGTGTGCACATTTCTGGTATTTTTGGGGAGACATCTCCAGCTCTCTTCAGTTCTTAAGGATGCAGGCCTGAGTAAGAACCCAGAGGACAGCGCCTCTCCTGCCCTCGCTTCCCCTCCTAGCGCTGCACCTGTGCAGCCCAGGTCTCCTGGAGCCTGCTCCCTGCCGCCACGTGGCAGCCTTTCCTCGGCCAGGTGGACTGAGGTGGGGACAGGAGGGCAGGCTCGTCCCCCTCTTTGCCCCACACCAGGGATGGCATCAGGACTCAGTGGGTCTGCTGGCTGCTTTCTTTTTCTCTCTTTCCTGTACCCACAGCATGTGGTAGACACAGCCCTACCTGATAAACACAAGCCAGTGGGCAGCACTTTTCTTCCTCCCCTGAGCACAACTTTGCATTTTGGCCTAGGTCACAGTGCCGCTCTCCTCCCTCCGAGAAGCATGGATTGCAGTTTCCACGTGCTCCTTTACAATATTGGGGAGCAGCTGGACAGTGAAGAATTGGCCTCCCTCAAGTTCCTGAGCCATGACCACATCCCACAGCGGAAGCAGGAGCCCATCTTGGACCCCTGCATGTTGTTCCAGAGACTCCAGGAGAAGAGAGTGCTGGAGGAAGGCAACCTGTCCTTCCTGAAGGAGCTGCTTTTCCGGATCAACAGGCTGGACCTGCTGGGCACCTACATGAACACCAGCAGGGAAGAGTTGGAGAGAGAGCTCCAGACCCCCGGCAAGGCCCAGATCTCGGCCTACAGGTGGGCAGCGACTGCTCTTGATGGACGCAGCCTGGGGCCTGGCTGTGTGCATGGTGCCTGCCAGGCTGGGTCTAGAAACACAGGAAACCTTCTGTGTAATCCAGAGAAAAGATGCTAGAACCGAGAGATAAAACTTATTTTTCCAAGTGAAACATTACTTACCAGTTTGCTGAAATGCAAAAAGTTTCTCTGGACGTTCTTGTTCTTCCTCTCTGCCCTGCACCCCTCTTCTGGGGCCTGCGCCTCCCGATGCCCCCTGCCTGCCTCTGAGGGAGGGTCACTGCCTCCCTCCGGAGCCCCAGCATTGTGGGAGCTAGGGGCATCTCAGTCCCACTTAGAGCCTCGGGGGCTGCTGTCCCCACAGAGGCCACACCAGGGCCCCTCAGCTGCCTGTGGCCACAGGCTGCCTCCAGCACTCTCCTCAGGCCACAGCGCTCAGCTTCTCCCTGGCTCTGTGGGCGCCAGGGACTGTGATAAGAGGCCACCGGCACTGACAGCTTCATGGTCTGTTACAGGCCTGTCACATCTCTTTCGTGTCCTGTTTTCAGACTCTCTTGATGTAATCTTAGTGTTATCTTTCAGGAGCTCTCTTTCTCAGCCTCCGCCCAGGCCATGTCATGGTCAGGGTGGCAAGTGCCACGTGCAGCCTCACTGCAGGGTGGACAGCCACTGTCCTCTTACGTCCCCTGCTGGTGCCTCTGGCATGGCCTTGCTGCCTATGGACTTCTGTGACAAGTATTCCGGGCATTGGTTTCCTAGGGCTGCTGTGACAAAGTGCCACACCCTGGGTGGCACGGTGAAATGTACAGGAAGTTTATTCTCCCACAGTTCTGGGGCCCGGATTCAGACATCGTCCCGGGGGGCCTTTGTGGAGGCTCGCTCCTGGCCGCAGTCCTTGCTGCTCAGGTGCAGCCCTGTAGCCCCAGCCTCCCTTCTGCGTCTCCACAAATCTTTCTTCCTGTGCAGCCCTGGTGCTGGCCTGGGCCCACCCCAACCCAGTGTGACTTGCTGAAATTTTATCTGCAAGGACTTTTCCCAAGTATGCATGACTGCAGGGTTGGGGCAGGCCTGGCTCCTCACAGCAGGCAGGACCCAGTGGCTAGATTGTGGAGAGGGTTAGGGTTTTGATGTCCTGGAAGGGTGAAGTCTTTCTAAGGAGCTTACTCATGAAGATACCAATGCATTCTGAAAAACAATAGTCCCAGCACTAGGAAAGCAGGGTTGGGGTTCTCATTGTATGCTGCCCTCTTGGTCCTGGGAAGACTCCGCTCCAGCATGTGAGCTGGGCCCAGCACCCCACTGTGCTGGCATTGGCTTACCCTCTGGAGTATCCGAAGGGTCCGGAGCAGGGGAGGTCTGTCCACTGTACTCATTGGCTTGGAGACAAAAGGGTCAGCATGGGAAAGGCAGTGAGGAGAATGAGCCCTACTACACAGCTGGGGGAATGTCAGCTAGCACATCACTGTGGAAACCAGCATGCAGACCAAGAGACTGAAGCTGGAAATCCCACATGACCCGGGTTTTCCCCTCAGAGGTCTCTGCCTGGCAGAGTTGGAGGCATCACAGTACAGGGACCCATGCACACCCAAATTTATAGCGGTAAACTCGTAAGGGCTACAGTTTGGATGTGGCCTTCACATTCATCAACAGGTAAACAAGAGCAAAGGATAGGAGTGCAGTGCCACACACCATGGGGCACTGTCCTGCCATGCAGGGTAAACTTGGTCCTGTGCGCCCCAAGACCATCAGTCAGTCATATGAACTTCAATATTGCATGGTTTCTCTTCTGTGGGAAGCCTAAAATATAAATAAATTACAGAGCAAAATAGAAGACAGATGATAGGAAACAGAGACATAAATCTTTTGCAAATGGTAAATGGACCAAAAGATAGAGGAAGAGGCGGAAGGGAGGGGAGGGACCCAGCGAGCATGTGCGCCCAGAGTGTGGCCACTCCCACAGGAGCGGAATCACTGTTCATGCAAACAGGAACTCACAAAACTAAAGATTTCAGGAAGAGTTGGCACAGCCACCATTCACTGCGTGTTCGCTGTTGAATACTAGCCAGATGGCAAAGATATGCTAGTGTGTCCATTTACCAGCAGAAGTAAGTGCTACGTGTTTTATTTTCAAATTATAATTGCTACCTATAAAGTAAGCATTTCATAGACTATCTGGGTTCGTTACTGGACAAGAAAGCCTGTAGATTTCAGTAATGAAAAAAGTAGAGTACCCTAAAGAATAAAGTTAGGAGAGGGAGTTCGGATATAGCTCAGCGGCACAGCGCCTGCCTGGTAAGTATGCGGTCTTGAGTTTGATTCCCAGTACCTCCCCCCATAAAAGTTAAAAGTCATATAGCATTTGGTTGGATTTAATCTTTCAACAAGTGAGAAAGTTTTAGAGAAGTATCGTAGGACAGACATTTTTGAGGAGACAGATGTGGCAGGTGATTACACTGAGTACCTTCTGTTTCTATTTTTATTTTCAGAATTTGTTTTAGAGACAGGGTCTTGCTTTGTAGTATAGGCTGACCTTGAACTTACTATGTAACCCAGGCTGACCTTGAACTCATGGAGGTTTTCCTGCTTCAGCCTCCCAGGTACTGAGATTATAGGTGTGTGCCACCATGCCTGGTCAGAGTTTTAATTTTTAAGTTCAGTTTTTAAGTAAACAATTATTGTGTCAGTTATTTTCCTTTATACCATAGTATTAAAAGGTTTGCTGACTTTTGAACCACTCCTCTGCTCACTCATTCAGCAAGCATATTCCAGCAGCCTGAATGAATGTGGCAGGCGTAGGTCAGAAGAGATAAAGCCTGTCCCTTCTTGGACACTTTGTGTGTTACTGACTGGGCACAGTCAGGTGCTTTGTCATGTGTCAGTCAGTCCAAGCTATGGTCTCGTAGACTGCACCGCCTGGTGACACCCAGGTGTTCTCTGTTTGTGTCAGGACATGTTATATTGTGGAAAGAAGAATCAGCCTAACCACGCTCTCAGAATGTATCTCCGCCAGGAAGTAACTGCGCTTCCTGAAGTCTCCCGTGCCACGCTCCACACCCACGACCTGTGATCATTACCCGATGGGGAAACAAGTATAAGGCTTCTGAGGTCACATAGTTCAGAGATGCTCTGAGTCCCCCGTGCTCCAGCACCTACCTCACAGCCCTCAGGGCTCACGAGGGTGGGATGGGCCTGGGCCTGGCTCTGCTGTGGGCATGGAGGGTTACAGAGTGTGAGCTGTCCTTGCAGGGAGAGTATGGAGATGGGGCCCTGGGGACACTCAGGTGACTCCGAGAGGGCAGAGGCTGGTGCTGAGGAGCATCTGGGGTTTTGTGCTGCAGTTTGAGGCTGTGGCCCCGTTTGCAGTCTTGACGCCCTGAGCGCACTGACCAGGGTTAGGGAGGGAGAGCACAGTTCCCAAATGCCAAAGCTTTTTTTTCTGTTGCCACAGATCTTGCTTTTCCCATGAAAGATGAAGGGAAAGTAAGATTCATGTAACTGAACTTAACTGAAAGATAGGGTGGAATTTAAATTGTTCAGGGTGAGTGTCTTGGTTACTTTTCTCTCCTCACTGAAGCAAAATATATGATGCCTAAAATGAGGAAGGAAAGGTTTATTTAGCTTACAGTTTGTGCAAGTTTCAGTCCATACTCAGCAGGCTCCAAGGCAGGGTGGCAAGGCTAAGGGGCAGCCATTCATGGTGGCCACAAGTGACAGGAGAAAAAAGGGCAGAGGGAAAAACACGTCTCCTTCCCTCCCCTACACTGGACGCTAGCTCTGCCTGTGGGCAGGTGCAGCACTCACACCGCCTTCACAAGGCCTGTCCCCCACGACTGCATGAGGCTTTGTGGGGACACCAGACACAAACCGTAACACTGGCCACTGGGTGCGAGGCGATGGTCTTTGGCTCTACCCTGCTGGCCTCTTTCCAGGAGCCCCCTGCCTATATCTGTGCTCTGACTGGCTCTGTTGGGAAGCAAGGCCCCGGGTCGGCACCACTGTGCTTGGGCAGGCCGCAGCTCACAGGCAGTCAGCATTCCAGAGTGTTTCTCTTCCTCCACACAGGGTCATGCTCTTTCGGATTGCAGAAGACGTAAACAAATCCGAGTTGAGGTCTTTTAAATTTCTGTTGTACAAGGAAATCTCCAAGTCTAAATTGGATGACAACATGGTGAGACTCCACATCTCTCACGTGTGGCCGATGTGTCAAGCGGGCAGATTCAGGTCTGGAGGAGGACTGGGTGTCAGAGGCTGTGCTGGGGAGTAGGGCCGTCCTAGGGCATTTCCATGGTGACTAGATGTCTGAGACACTGAGTTCGTGTTCTCTGAAATCAAGGAATGGATTCTAGGAACGACGGAGGTTAAGGGTAGGAAGAATTTCTGTCCCAGAGGGACAGGATAGGCCCCGGAATGTGGGCTGCTCCCCAACCCTGCTTCTCAAGGGGGTTTACTGAGCAAAGCCACACGGCGAGATGGGCTTAAGGTGGGACAGAACTGTGATCAATCAATAAGATTACAAGTATTGTTGCTCAGGTAATTCTGATCCAATGGCAGATCATAGAACAGGTGTGAGGTGGGACAAAACTATGGTCAACCAATCAGCACACAACAGATGTAGTCGCTTGGCTTATATTGATTAAATGGGGGTCAAATGGGGAAACAAGTTACACAGCTGTAGCAAGGACACACGAGATGACAGGGACTTTCCTGGAAGGGTGGGTAAGGAGGTTTGGTCCCCACACCAAGGTGACAGAGGCCTCCTCAGAGTGTCAGTCACTGCAGCTCATCCTTAGGGGCGTACCTGGGTGAGCAGCACTTTTTCTTGAAGCCTGGCCTGGGGTGAATATGCCCACAGCCACAGCTGTCTTCTGCATCATCCAGCCCTGTCTGCTGCCTACAGTGTTTCTACCTAACTTAGCTGTCTATAATATGGGGACCAACCCAGAGACTCCTGATGTGGCTTGTCTAGCCTCTTCTTTTGGGGCCGGGAGGCACACAACTGCCTCCCTCATTTTCCCTCTGCCCCAGGAAGGCGAAGAGGTCGGGTCTTTTGGGCAGTGAGGTGACCTGGTTGGGAAGAGGAAGTGAAAACATCTCCTCTAAGAGTGAATATGGCCCAATCCGGGTTTCCCCGCTCTTCCTCCTACAGAGCTTGCTGGAGATCTTCACAGAGATGGAGAAGAGGGCCATCCTGGGGAAGGACAACTTGGACACCCTGAAACAGATCTGCGCCCAGGTCAACAGGAGCCTGCTGAGGAAGATCGGCGAGTACGAGGAGCAGCTTGGAGGTAGGACCTGGGCAGGGCAGCAGCGGCAGTGTGGACTCAGCTGACTGGGCCTCTTCTCATGTGCTGGCTTTTTGTCTTTTTAATTCAGAGAGAAGAATGAGTCTCGGACAAAGTCCAGATGCATTTTCAAAGGGTAATGCTTGGATTCTCAAGATACACTGTTGACCACACTCTGACGCCTTCCTGCGTCCTTCCTGAGACTGTGGCCCAGTGGCAGGATGCGAGTCACTGGTGACTTGAAGTCATCCTTCTCCAGAAAGGCAGAAAAGCCACCACACCAATGCCCCACTGCCTCAGGCAGGCACACTCGGAATCAGTGCAGAGCTGGTCAGTCAGTCTTTCCTCTCCCACTTTTTTCTCTTCCTCTGACTTGTGCTCACATTCAAATCGGTTTTCAGAATTTCTGTAATTAATTCACTTTCTTTTTCAAAACCCAAATCCTCTGTCTTCTCCTGGAGAAAGCCACTTGGCCGAGTGTGAGCAATCCCTCTGTCCCCCGCCAAGCCCCAGGATCTGCCTGCCTCAGCCCGTGGACCAAGTTACTCTTCTTATTCCAAGGCGGAATTGGCCGGGCCCTGTTGCCCAAAGCGGAAGGAGCTCTAGGAGCTCTGCAAAACTCTGATTAATCACACATTCTCGCTGGTTATAAAATTACACGTACTCATGAGAATGACTTCGAATTCAGAGAGACTTCAAAATTCCAGCAGTGCCATCACCCGTAAATATTACTATTGTCAGCGTGCGTGTTACACTTTTACCTGGCTCTTTGTGTGCGTGTGTGATGTGTTTTGGATCCACAAGGATCCAGGGCAGATGGTTCTTCCTCACCACATGCCTGCTTGAATCGAGGCTTGAAGGGCACTTTAATGCTTTTGAGTCAGTAATTCATCCTGCACTAATGGTCCCATTAATGACTCTCTCACCAACGTCATTTCTCGACTTGGTGAGCTGAAGAATATAAAATTCTACCCGCTCCTGGCCCTCATCTTCCCACTGGTGCAGAGACAGTCTGTGCCTGGATCTCTAGAACGCCCTGAGCTGTGCTGCCTGCTGGCTCTGGGCCCAAGGGGCAGGGGTCCAGCTGGTGGGGATCTTCACCGTGTGGTCCGTGGGCGCCCTGAATGCGGGCCCCCGTCTGCCTCCCACCTCATTGTCCATCTCTTCTGCTTGTAGAGGAGTTGCCCTTCGAGATGCAGGACGCACTGGACTCTCTGGAAGGACAGAACAGCAAGGCACAGGTACGGGGACGCCCTGGTCCTCCTTCCTTGTACAGTGCAGGCTCTGTTTCTTGTATTTGTTAGATTTTTCTTTTTTTAGCTTCCAGATATGCCAATAAAAGGTAGAAATTTATTATGAATTTTGAGAACTGTAGGAAAAAAATCTATAAAAGGGCAAGTTTAATAGGTGACTTGACTTTTTAAAAATGTGACTCTCCAGGCTTCTGAGTGTTATATTTTTATTTTGAAGCCAGAGTGTGGCAGGGGAGCCTCCTCCGTGTCACCACAGTGGAGGTGGGAGGACCTCAGGAAGAGTCTAGTGGGCACAGAAAGCAAAGCCTTTGCTTTTTAGCTTGAAGTGGCATTAGGGAGTGCAAGAGCCAGGGGACACCTGCATTAAGCTCAAAAGGGCATTTACTGCTGTAGGCGCTAGAGGAAATCACCAAGTCTTCCCTTCCTCTCAGCCCAGGGTTAGCCGGGAGTGTTGCAGCACCTGGAGACAATACACTACTATTCTTTTGCACCATCCCACCCATCAGTGAAAGGCGAGTTTTTTTGGTCTTTTTCAGACAGGGTTTTACCATGCATTTGAACTCACTTTGTAGCCCAGGCTGACCTCGAACTCACAGGGATTCTCCTGTCTTGGCCTCCCAAGTGCTGGGATGACAGGTGTGTGCCACTGTGCCCAGTCCGAACAAGCCTCAGTCAACCTCAGCTTTGCAGTATCCTTGTAAATACACTGATAAGCAGCAGGACAGAATGGACATACTTTTTTAGTACTTAGCAGAGTATTTCATGCCTCAGTAAGAGTGCTGAGACATGAGGACTAGGAGACCTGCCAAGTCTCAGGTCAGGAAAATGCAGCTGGGAACATGGCTCGGGTCCTAGAGTCCATTTCTCCACTTCATGGGCTGCACAGACATCCAGCCACAGGCTGTGATCTCTGCAAGGACCCAGCAGGACGCCTCACATAGGGCCTTGCAGTCTCATCCTGGGACCCCACTGTGGGCCTGGGAGCTCCACCTGCCCTGGAATGGGCTGTGTCTCGCAGTTGTTGTAGTCCCTGGCTGAGCCCTTATCTGCCTCCAAGCACCTCTTTAAGTGAGAGGCAATGGCCTGCAGATCCTGAACCCCTGTGAAGCGAGCACCTCTCCCTGCAGCTCCTCCAGGATTTCTGTCCACATTCTTGGGCTGCGCCTGCAGGATAAGGTCCTGACTCGGGGTTTTGTTTGCAGATGTTGGACCAAATTTACCAAATGAAAAGCAAGCCCCGGGGGTACTGTCTGATCTTCAATAATTATGATTTTAGTGAGGCACGGAAGAATATACCCAAACTCAGCAAGATGAAGGACAGGAAAGGGACGGACTTCGATGCAGGTATAGTAGAACCCATAGAAGTGAGATGTTTCTTGCATCTGTTTTATAAAGAGAGGGAGCAGATGTGAGGGTGCACTGGCTACAATATGTCACCTTGTCTATTGCCAGGGTTGATCGGCTGGTCCAGCTGGCTGGGGTGGGCGTCCTGTCCTTCTCACTGCTCCACTGCAGTCTCCTGAGGCTGGGTCAAAGAGGACACCCACCCCAACAGAGGACGACCATCCCTTGGTCATGGGGAAAGAGCTGTGTTTGCTACAACCTCCAAACAAGCTTTCAAAAGCTGGGGAGAGGGAGTTTAACTCAGCAGCACAAGTGCCTGCTTGGCAAACGTGAGGTTGTGAGTTCGATTCCCGTACCAAAAAAAAAAAAAAAAAAGTGACTTATGGTAAATGTATCCATTCTCACAAGAGTTTAGGAAAAAAAGTGTGTGTGTGTGGGGAGCCCTGTGTCAAAAGGGGACATGTTTCAAGAGAGTAGGTTTCAAGTTATTTCCTCGAGGTGCAGAACACGCTTACATATTTGTTCATGTTCTGCTTTTGTTTCATTTTTAAATCAAACCAATGTGGTGATAAAATACCGACTCTTACTAGGAGGCTTATGCTGAAGTGCGGCAGTGAGCCTCACTTTTAACTCGACTGAGCATGTGAGTCCAGAGCTACAGCAAGCGTCTTGCCGTGGGCGTGGGGCACGGGTGCTGTTGGGTGCCGCACAGACTGTGAGCTCTTCACAAACCTTGTGTTTTCAGATGGTAAACCAGCTAGAAATTCTTCTGCTCAGCCTATCTAAGATAAGGCTGAGAATTCTGGATTACATGAAAACATAATCTGTGGCTTGGGAATGTAAAAATGACTGTAATAAAAAATCATCCAGTCCAATCCAAGCAGTGTTAAGGATTTGATTCACTCAAAGAACTTTCACAAATGGCATTTAGAGAACTGAATGATGTTTAGGAAGTCATTGCAAACTGACTCTATCAGGACACTGCAGTGGTCCCTGTGCAAATCCAGTCTGAGATTTTAGCTGCAGGACTCAAGGACACTGAATCTAATAGTTGTTACCACGCACTTGGCGTTGGAAACATGTTTTCAGGCCCTTTGTGCCTGTTCATTTAATGGTTAGGAAATTCTCTAACGTTGGTTTGATTGAGTTCTGGAGCCCATTCTTCTTACACAGGCCTGTAACTAGAGTCTGCCGGAGTCTGTACACCCACTGGTCCATGCGGCCTGCAGTGAGCCCGGGTCCGTTTGGCTCTGCGGAGTCCCTGGTGAACGGCCCTGCAGTCACTTTCATCACATTCCAGATTCCAGAGAGTCAGAGTCTTCCCAGAACCAAGGCACTGTTCTGGCTTCCCCAGAGTTCTTACAGACCCACGAGGTCCATGGCACTTCCAAGTGAACGTGAATCAGACGAGCAGCCCGAAGGGGTGAGCGACTTTGACCAGGTCTACTAGCACATGAAAAGAAAAAGAACTGAGGCAAACTTAAAAAAAAGTAAAATTACACATTCCAAGAAAGACACAAAGCTTGCTACGAAAGGAAATACAAAGAACACATTGTTTACATAGCTCCAGTAACATAATATCCTGCATTCAACTCAGCATTGTAGATAATGGTGTAAAATAGTAAACGCTCATCCTCTATAACAACTCAGGCCAAAAGTCTCAAATTTGTAAATAACAATGTATGTAATTTTGCTACAAAAGGAAGATGAAGAAAAAAACATGCTAAGCAGAAAGTGGTTGCTTTTACAGGACACAACTAACACAGGTACAGACGGAATAACTTGTCTAGTGTGTCTTTTAGTTTTACTTTTATTGGTCTTTTATTGTGACAAATATAATTTGAGGGGTTTCAGCATATACATATCATATTCAAAAATTGTTTTTTCTGATTATGTAAGAAATACAATCATGCTTTGAATTGGCTGGGCAGTAACCCTAAATAATAGTTACGCGTCTCAGAAGGTATTCCAGCAAGGAGCAGGTCCACAATAACATTCCCACGTGCACCAGGGCTCGAGAACCTTTCTGGCCAGTGACAGTAACACAGAAGCACCCAGAATCCAGTGACTGGTGCAGAACGTCTTTAAGCTCTGGCTCCCATTCTTCATGAGGACGTCAGCCCGTTTTCCCAGCGCTCTGCTGCGGGGCGGGAATACTATTTTCCTTCTTTCCTTCCCTTTCCAGAGACCTTGGGCAGCACCTTCTCTGAGCTTCATTTCGAGACAGTGCTTTGCAGAGATCTGACAGCGCAGGCGATCCGCGAGACGCTGCAGTACTACCAAGGTGTGGACCACAGCGACAGGGACTGCTTTGTCTGCTGCGTCCTCTCCCATGGGAACAGGGGCATCGTCTATGGCATCAATGGGCAGGAGGTGTCCATCTCTGAGCTGACCTCTTACTTCACTGGCTCCAAGTGCCCTTCCCTTGCTGGAAAACCAAAAGTGTTCTTTATTCAGGCTTGTCAAGGGGAGAACTTCCAGAAAGCTATATCTGTGGAGACTGACTCAGATAAGAACAAGGTCTCTGCAGAGGATGACTTTTCATATACATGGTTGACCATCCCAGACAATGGTGACTTCCTGCTGGGGATGGCCACCGTGGACAGCTATGTCTCTTATCGAGACCCCACGAAGGGAACCTGGTATATCCAGACACTGTGTGACAGCCTGAGAAGAAGATGTCCTTGGTGAGTTTGGCCTTGTGTGTCTCAGTTCTGGTCAGCCCGCTGCCCTCCCTATCACCTCTGCAGACACCTGTGTTCAGAGCCCGCTGGAAAAGGCTGTGGCCATTTACTTGGTCAGAGATGGCCCAAGGGGAGGGGCTGCTGCTTGTCCCAGTGTCTAGTTGTGACTGGCACAGCTGCACTTCCTGGGTCAGGGTGAGTGGGGAGATGGGCAGGGTGTGGGTGGGGTAGTGGTGCCCAGCTCACAGCCTCTAGGCAGAGGCTGAATCTCCAGAAAGTCCGGAACCCGAGTTAGTGTCTCGATGCTCCACCCCATCAGTTGTCCTGCAATATATGGGTGCATTGTGAGATGGGGTAGCAAGAGCCCCTCATGCTCAGCCTGGTGGACCTGCTCTGAAGGCAGGAGCATGGCAGTGTCCCTCCCTTATTTACCAACCACAGGCTTCTGTTATTTAAATTAATGTTTAAATCACGGTTCAGCCACTGGCACACAGGGCCAGCAGATGATGGTAAGGACTCCTCCCAGAGGTTCCTTCTTGTCAACTTCTCATTATGGTTTTTTTTTTGTGTGTGTGAAAACAAACACTTTCCCATGCCTTGTAAAGAGTGAACCACAACAGAAGTGTGGCATTTTCATCTTGCAACTCCTGTGTGGGTCCTGCATGCCTCTGGGGTTAGCTGTATGTGAGGAAATTGCACAACAAAGCTGCTAAGACTGAGGGGTGGAGGCGACACGGGGCCTTCACTTGCCCAGAGTTTGCCTGCACTGCAGATGCATGCACAGAGCAGTGTGGATGTCACGCAGAGGGTACTGGGGGCAGGAGGTACTCGAGGGGGTCAGGTACACAGCGAGGGGCAGAGTGAGACAGCATGCATGGCCTGGGAGGGAAGGAATCGGATCTAATGCTGGTGCTGGGGTTTCTGATGGTCGCCAGAGGTCCTGAGCAGACCAATAGCAAGGAGGCCTTGGTTGGGCCACATGGCTTCATGTGCCTGGCGCTTTAGGGGAAGAACTCTCAAGGGCCTGGCAGAAGTGCTGGTGGGCGGTTTTCATCCCTCACAAGTGGTCACGATGCTATGCTCTGCTTCGCAGCGGAGATGATATTCTCACCATCCTGACGGAAGTGAACTTTAAAGTGGGCGAAAAGATCGACCTGAAGAACAGGGGAAAACAGATGCCCCAGCCCATGTTCTCACTGAGGAAAAAGCTGTTCTTCCCCACTGACTGACGCCGGGATGGAGCTCTGAACACTAGGCCTCCCCAAAGCCTAAGCAGTTGCTGTTTGCACTTGTTCTGGATGGTCGGAGGGGCGAACAGAAGTCCTGTGCCTAACGAGGCGAATAATCCTGCCGAACACCAGCACCTTCTCCTTCTGAGCCGTCCTCTACACTACTTTTATTCTGCTTTGCTGGGGTTGAACCAGAGTCCTGTGTGCCAAATGAACGCCCTCCAAAGCACTAATTTTTTGTATGAAAACTTTAAAAACCAAGCTGTTAGGTAGAGCCCACCGTCCCAGCCTGCTGCCCTCCGCCTGCTGCTTCTCTCTGCTTCCCGGCCAAGCCTTTCGCAGGTTATCTGCAGGTGCTAAGAGCTTTCAGAAAAACAGAATAAATTTGCACCTTCCTGTTTCTAAGTTTTTTTTTTTTCTTTTGCTGTTTTTTTTCTTTCCAATGCATCTCACAAGTAGAAAACATTCAGTGACCTATTCTATTTCAGCCACACAAAGCTGGCCTCCACTGTTGTGTTTTTGGCATTTGTTGTTAACACTCAAAAGATGTAAAGGTATTACTTTAAAACTAAAATATCGGGGCTGGGGATTTAGCTCAGTGGCATAAGTGCCTGCCTTGCAAGCAGGTGGTCGTGAGTTTGATCTCCGGTACCAATAAAAAGGAAAAAGACAAAAAAAAAAAAAAAAAGTGAAAACTAGAATATCTTCTCCTGAAAAATCCAAATGCTTGGCCACAGTGATCCTGTGCAGAACAGGAACAGCCGATGGTCTGGGCAGGCACTCAGACGGAGCCCGGGCCCTGCCGGCTCTGCAGGCCATGTGCAGGACTGCCTGTCTCTGCGGTGTGTGATGGCAGCGTGGTCAGACTCCTCCCCGTGAATCACGGCGAGGGGACAGCTGGAGTGGGCGTGGGCACGGGTGTGAGAGAGTAAAAATCAATACATGATCTGTTGATTACCTAAATGTCCCAAGAGCACACACAACTTGAAATAAGGTCAGCATTCAGGAGGGAAAAGGCTTTCAATTACTATAGTTTCTTTGTAGTCAAATATGCAAAAGTTGAAGAGAAAAGAGTACCAGCCTACGGAAAGTTCCCACATACAGAAACATCAGTCCCCAAACAGTCACCAGAAGCCATGCAACTGGAGGAGAATTCAACCATTCCCAGCCTCTCAGAAGAAAGCCAACTGTGACACAAATCAAGCCACCCAAGAACTCTACTCATCAGCAGCTTTTCTCATGAAAGCCTTCAGCCTTCTGTTGGCCGCAGGGCTGGTTTCCCTGCCCTGGGCTGTGGAGAATAGGGGTTTCTTTATGACTGTCCTCTTTTGTTGCTGCTGTCTTCCAACATGCCCAAGTCATATCCAGAAAGAGCGACAGAGGTGGACCTCTCAGGTCGTCTTTCATGGCTGTCTTCATTCTTGGCGATTATCTTCTGCCTGCAAACAGAGCAGAAAGATGCATCACTGTAGACCCAGGGGAAGGCGGGGAATGCAGTACCAGGGTGGTACTGGGGAGAAGAGTATGGCTTCCCCCCTTTCTGAGGGGGCATCACACTCATTACTCGCAGTGGTTTCAAATCTGGTGAGATGCAGTGGTCGGGTCACCAAACGCCCAGCTGAGGAACGTCCTTTTTTTTTGGTCTTTTTGAGACAGGGTCTCACTATGTGGTTCAGGCTGGCTTTGGGCTCACTTTGTAGCCCAGGCTGGTCTTGAACTTGCCACCATCTGCCTGCCTCAGCCTCCTGAGTGCTGGGATTACAGGAGTGCGCTACCACGCCCGGCTCAAGAATGTCCTTTTTAGAAAGTCAGCATTTGCATTAGTGAGTAGTAACTGAATGGATCTTGTTCTGGTGGACTTGGACGTGCATGTAACCCACTTGGATCACCTCTACACCATAACCTTGTCTGTGCTCCCCTGTTTGTGCCCTTCCTTCCCTTCTGTCCGGTCACCGGTCTTTGGTCTGTCTTCGTATGCCCTAGAGACAGGGTCTTTCTGAGCTGGGCTAATTTTGCTTGACATGATGATCCCTAATGTCGTCCATGTTTTTGCAAATGACAGGATTTCATTCTTTTCTTTCTGTTTAATTGGATGATTATTGTTACTTTCCCTTTTATTACCACGGTCTATTAATGTTACAAACTGCTGCTTGGTGAGTTTCCCCACTTCCCTCTCTCCTTCCCTCCTCTCCCCGCCCCCTCCCTCCCCTCCTCCTGTCTGTTAATAGAGTCCCTTATGCTTTCATGTCGCCCTTCTTAGAGCACACAAGTTACAGGGAACATGCAGTATTTGTCTGAGTAGCTTTTTTGCTCAGCGTGCTAGGCTGTGGATCCATTCATTTCCTTGAATAATATTCCATTATGCACGTATACATTTTCTCTAGCCATTCATCTGTTCCAGGGTTTCCAGGAAGGTTTTGTATCTTGGGCACCTACCGTAAATTGTGCTGCAGTAAATGTGGGTCTGCCAGGGTCCCTGTGGTGTGCTGACTTTCAGTCTTTCTGGTATATACCAAGCAGTGGCATAGTTGAATCAAATGGGAGCTCTTTTTTAAAGTTTTTTGAGGAATGTCCATTCTGATTTCTAGCGGCAATATATTAATTTACATGCCCACCAGCATTTGGTATCTTTTTGTATTCTTGTTGACAGCCGCACTGATGAGGCTACAGAGGACTCTTAAGTAGTCCTGACTTACATTCCCTAATATCTAAAGATGCTGCATATCTTTTTTCGATTATTTCATGGTCATTTGTACTTCAAGAAGTGTTTGATCAGTTCATTTGCCCACTTACTGATTGGGGTATTTGGTTTTTTTGGTGTTAAGCTTTTGAGAGTTTTAATATACTCCAGGTCTGAATTCTTTGTCAGAAGAGTAGCTGACAAACATTTTCTCCCATTGTGTAGGCTGCCACTTTACTGTTAGTCTGTTCCCTTGCCATGCAGGAAGTTTTTAATTCCATGTGGTTCCATTTATCGATTCCTGTAGTGTCTTTCCTGTAGTGTTGTGGTCCTTTATTCGGGAAGTCTTTGTGTCTATGACTCCAACTGTTTCTCCTATATTTTATTTTAGCAGTTTCGCAGGTTCAGGTCTTATGTCTAGGTCTTTGATACATTTTTAATTGATTTTTGTACAGGGTGAGAGACAGGGCCTAATCAGCGAGATTTTACTCAACCTAATGATGCAATTCAAGGTCTTACATAAACAAGAACAAACCAAAACAAAAATCAACACAAGGAGAGAAAATAATAAATACCAGAGCTGAAATTAATGGGATAGGAACTACAGGAACAATACACAGAATCAATTAAGCAAAGAACTGGTTTTTCAAAAAGATAGAAGATTGATAAACCCTTAGTCAAACTAACCAAGAGTGTGAATATGCAAATAAATACAATTAGGGATGAAAAAGGGGACATTATGACAGATACCAGTTTTGAAAACATATATTCTAATAAATTGGAGAATCTAGAATAAATTAATGAACTTCTAGACACATATGACCTACCAAAACTGAACCAAAAAGATACGAAAAATCTAATACGATCAATAACAACCAATGGAATTGATGTAATAAACAGTCTCTGAAGAAAGAAAAGCCCAAGACCAGAGGGTTCACTGCTAAATCTTACCAAACCTTTAAGAACCCATGCCACTGCTTCTCAGACTATTCTATGAAACAGAAAGGTAAGGAATGCATCCAAACTCATCCTGAAAGGCCAATATAACCCTAATACCAAATATAAAAAATATAAGCCAGATGAACATAAATGCAAAAAGCTTTCATAAAATACAAACCAAATTCAACAACACATTCAAAAGATCATGTACCATGATTAAGTGGCTTTTAATCCAGAGATGCAAGAATGGTTCAACATAGACAAATATATAAACATAATACACCACATAAATAGAATCAAAGATTAAAAAATCACAATTATCTCAACTGATGCAGAAAAAAATTTTAGACAAAATTTTAACCTCCCTTATTATAAAACCTCTGAAGACATTGAAAGGTCGTATTTCAATATAGTACAGCCCAAATCTAAACCAGCATCTTTCTGAGTGGGGAAAAACAAAGTATTTTCTCTAAAACCAGGACCAAGTCCACAATGTACACTCTCACCATTCCTACTCAATACAGCACTTAAAATTTTAGCCAAAGCAAAGACAAGAAAAATAAATAAATGGATGCAAATAAGAAAGAAAGTGGCCAAATTTTCCTTGTCTGCAGACAATGTGCTCCTGTGCTTAGAAGACTCGCCAAAAGACTTTTACACTTAATAAGTTCATTAGAGTAGCAGGATGAAAAAGCAGCATCAAAAAATCAGTAACTTCTATATACCAATATTTTCAATTAGCAATAGCCACACCCTGGATAAACCTCATTGGCTATACAATACATTCATTGTGCAAAACTTCTATGCACCAATACTGGAGTAGCCAAGAAAAAAATCAAGTAAACAATTACATTCACAGTAGCTTCAAAAAACAAAATAGCAGGCTAGGGATTTAGCTTAGCAACCCAAGTGCCTGCCTAGCAAGCTCGAGCGAGGTCGTCAGTTTGATCCCCCACAAAAAGAAAGATGAAAAAAATACCTAGTGGCCAATAAACAATGAGTAAAAGACCTCTCTACACTGACAATTTCAGAACACTGAAGAAATAAAGGAGACATAGAAAGTGGAAAGACCTCTTATGTTCATTCATTAGAAGAATCAATTCAATGCAGTTTCCTTTAGTAAAGTATTGCCCAAAACTTCTTGTGAATGATTTCAGGTGTATCTTCAGGTGACAGAACATCTGCAGCTATTTTTCATAGCCCCGGAAGCGCTGCATCTAAGGTAAATCATTCATATGGAAACCCTCAGGAAAGATAGACCCAAAAACCAGCTCAGACACAGAATTAGATAATCTCAGAAATGACAGATGAACTTCCTGTGTCATTTTGTTCTTTTGGGTTTCTTTGAATCAGGATTTCACTATGCAGTTCAGGCTGGCCTCGAACTCACTATGCAGCCCAAGCTGGCCTTGCACTTGTGGCAGTCCTCCTATCAGCACCCTGAAAGCTGAGATTACAGGAATGCACTCCTATTCCTGGCCTTCTGTGTTATTTTGGAGAAAAAAACCCAGACACGCAAATAAAGGAGGAAAGCCTAACACCTCCCCTAGTGAGTCATCCCCGGAGTGAATGGTGTGACCTTGCTGGAAACCTGTGTCCAGCCCAGAGGGCCTGAATTCCCCCTCAGCGCAGCCAAGAGCACCTGTGTTCAGAACCCACTCCTCACTCAAACGCCCTCCCACTCCTGCAGGCGGCTCGGCCACACCTGAGGTCACTGTTTTCCGCTGTGAGATCCTGGATGATGTGTTTGTACTTTTCCTCAGCTTCTGCGAGCTTGTTCTGCAGTACTTTTTCTAGGTTTCCCGCTACAGCTTTCTGAAAGACACACAGTTGGGTGGCTGCCTTCCCTGAGACACCCAGGGCACCCAAGGCAGCACAGCAAGGTGCTCACATTCCTGCGAGCTCCCGCCCCCCTCAGGTCGTACCTCTTTCTGGAGTTCCAGCTGAGTTTGGTAGAGGCTCGTGTTGAGTGACTCTAGAATAAGGGCTTGTGCATGCAACTCTTCCTCTATGATCTGCACAAAAGACGTTTTCAGGACATTATGCAGACATCTGCCTGCTTATTCTCTTCTCCAGGACACCTGCAGGAGAATGCGTGTAGCAGCATAGCTCAGCCTTCTCCTGTGCTCCCCAGACCCCAGCCATCGCATCCTGTCTTGCCTGCCCACCCCTCCCCCCGACTTCAGCTCGCTGCCACCACTGTAGAGCTGCCTCTCACCTGAGGGCCACCGAACACTGCAGCAGCCTCATTCGCAAAGCCCATGTTCACAGTGCACAACAATGGAAATGAACGGAAAACATGGACTGTACTTAAGACTAATACACCAGCATGTGCTGCCAACTGCACTAACATATCACCCCATAGGGCTACATAATATAACCCTAATGCAAAATGTTATTAACAGGGGGAACTACGGGGCCAGGTGAGAGGGTGGGGGTGATATGGAAACTGTCTATATTTTCTGCCTCATTTCTGTGTAAATTTAAAACAGTTCTAAAATAATCTATCAATTAAACAAAATACCACTAAAGACAGGCAGGGGTTACTCCTCTGGCTGCTCAGGAGGCTCACGCAGGAAAGATCGCAAGCTTGAGTCCCACCTGGGTAACCCTGGAAGACCCTGTCTCAAAACCAAAAGGTGTGGGGACCTGGCTCAGTGGTACAGTGTTGGCCTAGCATGTAAGAGGCTCTGGGTAATATCTTCAGCAAAAGCAAAGAAGGAAGGAAGGAGGAAGAGGAGGAAGGAAAGAAGGAGAAAGAAGAAAGAAACCAAGAAATTAAGAAGAGAAGGAGAAAAGCAGCCTGTGCAAAAGACTTCACAAGAAAAAGAAACATTCAGCACAGCAAGCAGGACAATGGCTGAGATGGGGAGACATGGAGGGGCCAGCTTAACCCTGGGGGACTGTGCAAAGCTGAGGAAAGCCAGGTGCTGTCCCGGGCTGGGGTGGGCTGGTTGGTCTCCCTGTGTGTACCTTCTCACTGCTCTATGGAGGATGGGCCCTGGGGCAGGGAGTAAAGCCTGATCAGAAGGAGGGGAGCACTGCACTAGTTCGGGGGAGAAGTGATGGCCCACGGTAAGAGCAGCAGGGCTGGACAGAAACAGTTTGTAATAGCTAATCTTGGAAACAACCCAAATGCCCATTGACCGAGGAATGAATAAAAAGATGTGTTTTTTAATATAGTGGAATATTGCTCAGCCATAAAGAAAGATAAACTTGAGACTTTTATAGGTCAATGAGTGCAACTCAGGACCATACTCATAAGCAAAGTAAGTCAGCCCTCCACGTGTAAACATCACACTGTCTCTTGGCGTGAGTGGCTGAACGAGAAATGAGAAACAGATACTGCAAAATGGGAAGAAACTGTTTAAAAGGAAAGAGAAACTGTGATGGGAGAGGGGAAGGGAAGGAAGAGAAAGGAAAAAAATATATCCACACAAGGTAGTTAAGATAGTAACACAGCTAGTTTCTCTCAGTTCATTGAAAAGAAAGTTTCGCATTAATACTTTTATGGACAATATTTCATGCCTATATCTTATACTCAGAAAAACTACTATGAATGTAACAATATGCAATGTATTAATTATTGTTACTCTTCTTTTAGACAGTTTTGAAACTCTGTTTTACTGTTATTTTTACTTTTTTTCTATTTAAATTTTAAAAAGAAAAAGAAAGAAATCATTGATAACCAGGTCTGGACGCTCACCCTGGGGAGCCGACAGTTTCCAGTCCCGTGGAGAAGCTGTCACGTGTGCAGCTCACCCAGAGATGGAGACAGACGGCGCAGCACAGCTCGCGGGGAAGAGTGGCATTTGTAGCCCAGCTGCTGCTGCAGTTCAAGTGTGGCTGCACAGTGGTCACCCAGCACCCGCAAGGACGCAGAATGCTGGGCACACAGAGATCAGAGCTGGCTCTCAGAAAGGCACTGCTGTTTCTGCTTTATACACAGTTCCAAAATCATTTTCCTTTTTTTTATTTTAAAGAGAATAGAACCCAACAAAACAGAATAAAGCTGACCAAAACAAAGCAATAGACGTGGTAGAGAACTTCGGAGCAGGGTAATAGGAAATCAACAATGGCCACCATAGTAGATCTTGTTATCTTCACAATAGTTGTCCATTCCATCAGACACAGTGAAATCAAATAAAACAAAACCAATCAAAACAGAACCTTGAATAAAACAAAACAATAAATGGGAACAAAACAAGACAGTGAGAACATACTGGATTACAAAAACAAGACAGAAGGAAATCCGCCGTATTTGCTATCCTGCGTACTGTTATCCTCCCAATAGGTGCTCGGACTCGCTGCCCCAGGCCTGCAAAGTCAGACAAGCAGTGCAAGCATTCAGTTGTTCCCAAATTCTTCACAATTTATTGGATCTAGCAAGTTTAACCTCAGGTCTTCCATTTTTAAATGGGTCTTGGGAAAATCATCATAGATTCCATTTTCCTGAAAGGGTATCTTCTTATTCCTTTTTTTTTTTTTTTTTTTGTCTTTTTTCCTTTTTATCGGTACCAGGATCGAACTCACGACTGCCTGCTCACAAGGCAGGTGCTTATGCTGCTGAGCTAAATCCCCAGCAAGGGTATCTTCTTACTGGTATGTTTGTAAAATACTCCGTCCCAGGGAAGGTAGAGAGCTTACCTCTTTGTTCTTCCTCAGCTCTTGTAATTCCATGGTGTCCCTTTCATGTTGTTTCAAGAGCTCCTAAAAACATTTTTTATTTGACAAGGTCAGCACTGTGGTTCTGGATTTTCTTTTGGAGAATTTAAAAAACCAGTAGAGGATTCACAAATATATTCACAAAAGCTTAGTCACTGGTATTATAACACACATATTATCAACAAATGATACGTTTTGAAGTTAAATAATGAAAATTCCATGTTCAAACATCACTCTGATGAATGTTAAAAGAAATGATATTTTCATCAAGAACTTTTCTGAAACCATTGTACAGATCCAATGTTGTGAAGAATTCAGTTCTGCAAGACTGATCTTTATTTTTAGTGTAAACTTTGTCAAAATGCCAGTACTTTTTGTTGTTGTTTTTGCTTTTTGAGACACGGTCTCACTCTTCTGTAATTCAGGCTGGCCTTGAAACTCATTATGTAGCCCAAGATAGCCTTAAACTCATGGTGATTCTCCTGCCTCAGCCTCCAAGTGCTAGGATTACTGGTGTGAGCCACCATGCCTGGAACTACCAGAACTTTCTTGACAAAGTACTTCAAAACTGATAAGCTAGTTCTAAAATTTATATGAAAATTCAAAGGATATAGAAATGGCAAAATAATCTTGAAGAACAGTAGCAAAGTTAGATGATCTCACTACTTGGTTTCAAGTTACACTAGTTAAGGCAATGTGCTGTTGGACAAAGCATAAACAAATAGTCAGTTGAACAGAACAGAGTCTTATTCCGACGTCTAAAGATGCCTAGGCAACTCAGTGAGACAGGAAAGAATTTTCAAAAAATGGTACCAGTCCAGGTATAGTGCTACACACCTGTAATGCAGTACTCAGGAGGTTGAGGCAACAGGATTACTGCAAGTTTGAGGCCAGCCTGGGCTAAAAAGTGAGCTCAAGGCCAGCCTGGACTGCATAGAAAACCTTGTCTCAAAAAGACAAAAGCAAACAAACAACAAAAAGTTACCAGAACACTGGCATGTGTAGAGGAAAAAGATGATTCATGAGTTCTGTCTCTCCACATATAAAAAGGATTCAAATGGGTTACAGAACTAAAAAATGTAAAATTATAAAGCTTTAAAAAATGGAGTACTTTCACGGCCTTGAAATAGACAAAGAAAATACAAAAGCTTTAACCATAAGGGAAAAGGTTGGTACTTTGTCTTTCATCAAAACTTCTGCACATTGAGATATACGGTTAATAAAAAGAAAAGGCAAGCCACAGGCTGGAAACCACTCCACGCGATGTGCATCTGACCAAGAATCTGTACCCATCACGTATAAAATACCCTTACAGGTCATCTCTCATGTTTCTCTAGTGATGAAAGATGTGAACAGACACTTCACCAAAAGATACATGAGTAGTTCATAGAGCATATGAAACACTGTCCAATGTAATTAGTCATAATGAAAACTAAAACTACACAAACATGCTTCATATCCACTAGAATAGCCAAGATTAAAAGCCTGGCAATAGTAAGTGTTTTGGAGGATGTGGGACAACCTGACCTTACATATTTACAGTGCAAGAGTAAAATCATGCAACTACTTTGGAAAATAGTCCAACAATGTCTTATAAAGTGAAACCTCCAGTTCCTCCAGAATCTAGTAATAGTATTCCTAGGTGTAAACCCAAGACGAATCATATGTCTTTCACAAAAATGCTTGTATACTGTTTATAGAAGCTTTATTTTTAGTTGTAAAAGCCAATAAATGGAAACAACCAAAATCTCCAAAACCAGAAAAGTGGTAAATACATTTCTACAAAGAAACACTACCAAGCAATAAATAATAAAGGAAGAAATTACAGATATGAAAAACAAGTGGATCAATTTTACAGACATTTTGTTGAGGGAAAAAACTATATACAGAAGAGTATAACAGTACAATCCTATTTATGTGAAGTCTGAAGACTGTAGTGGCAGGACCTGTCTGAGGGTGGTTTGGGGTGATGCAGCTCGCAGGGAAAGGCACTGAAGTTTCTCAGGCTGACCACGGCAGGTTTACACAGATGTCAAAGTGCTTTAATGCCACACTCAAGTCTGTGGATCTCGCTAAGAATAGATTATACCTTATCAAGAGGGGGACCCGAGGATGGTCAGCAGCACTGGAAACAGGAGGGCAGGAGGAGGCCAGCCGTGCCAATCCCGACTCCTTCCCTGAAAGAGCCTCTGCTTCTCACCACACCTCTGAGCCCTCTGGACCCCACTGCATAGCACGCTGAGCTCTGCATTGCTATGGTGCACAGTAATAAGAATGGACAACAGAAATAGACTTTTATTGGTGAAATTATATTAGCATGATGGTTAAAGATGGGCACATAGATGAAATATTCAGATTAAAGAAAACACTGTAAAATTATTCTTCATATTGCATGAAGAGCACAGGAATCCAACAGATTCCACTGCCTATGCCAAGGTTGTGGCAAACCTGACCTCAGATGGGCCAGTTGCTGATGCCAACTACAATGGGGCAGAGTCCTGACTCTGAGGCACCATTCCATCCACCATCAGCCAATCTCTTGTGCACCTGAAAGCTCAGAGATCTAGCAGAATGCTTGTGTGCAGCCTGCTTGCTAAGGCACCTCTGCTTTGTAAATGTCCATAAGTTTGGTGAAATTTGGTCTGTGATCTGTTTTCTTTACAACCTGATCTCATGGTAAGCTTTGGGATTTGCAGGAAGATATGCTAACCGTCACTACCCATATTCTAATTAGCTCCTCTTATTATTCCTTAAGGGCTATGTATGTGTGATCAAATGTGATCTGTTTAGTTTGTGGCCTCTTCATCTGCAGCTAGGGGTGAGACTGACACTCAGAGATGGGAGGCTGTGAAAGCAGGGGATTGCAGGTCCTGTCATCTCCTGTTCATCACAGCTGCATCCTACCCACACCGCTCTAGCTCAAGGCTAGCAAGATGGCCAGTCTACCTGCATACACTCCAGGAAAACTGGAGAAGGGAGCAATGCCCATCAAGGCCAAAAGAAACCCTCATCATGGGCACAGCTGGGGTTCAGCATTTTTGTGCATGGCTACCTCCTTCTCCCGCACAAAGCTCTCAAAGGTAGCACTGTAGGATTCGGTCATTCTCCTCTTCTCCTCCTCTGACTCTAACTCAAACTTTTTGGTCATCTTGTTTTCTGTGGAGATGGGAAAAAAAATGTGTGTGTAAATGTGGGAACCCTAAGCAGAGAGAAACCCAGCTGTCCAAGAGAAGAATCACTCCCTGCGGATCGTCCCGAGGTCCTGGCAGCCTGGTGAGGACAGTCTCCGGAGAAGACTGGTGGGGACAGGCATGGCGGCTGTGCTCCTCACCCTCACCATGTGGGGCTCACTGCCAGCATCTCCCATCACTTTGTGTGTCTCTTGGATCTGTTGCTTGTTATTCTGTCTATTGCCTTTCCTAAAGTAAAGACTGTGCCTTCTTGGACATTCTTTTTCTTAAAATAATGCTCTCCATGACCCGATTATTCCAGCATTAGAACGCATTCTGCTGCTGGGTCTGGGGTGGAGTTAGCTGACCCCCAGCAAATGCACCTGAGCACACAGACAGAGGGGGCTGCCAGGGCACTCCTCCATGAGTGAGCAGCTAAGTTCCAAGTTTCAACACCAGAGGTTGCAACCTGACTTAAACTTTGGCAACAGGAGGCACCATGTGTGTGTAGCCAGAAGTCAGGAGGTGAGCTGATATCTGGGACACCAAGACTCTAGGCTTTGAGTTTGAGTAGCTGCACCTTCCACCCCTGGCCTGGACTCCTAGAGCTGAGTCCTCGGTAGAACATTGGCTGACTTTCCTGGATGTCCCTGCTGTCAAATGAATGATTTGGTTTTAATCAACTGAAAGAAAGAGAGACAAGACTGGCATGGACCATAGAATGGGTTTGCAGAGGGTCACTCCCACCTCAGTGGCATCCTAGGCCTGGAATAACCCCCACGAGCTCCTTCCTTTACACATGCAGGAGCTCAGTAGGGCTGGAGATGACCTGTGTGGCCCTTGGATGATTCAAGCTCTGGGTTATGCAAGGAAATATTAAAATGTGCATCAACATGGCTTCCTTTGGGGGTTGCAGGGGTGTGGAGGCTCCAAGTATAAAGGGTGTGTGATGCTCCCACTCCCCCCAGTAAATATTACAAATTCTAATTCAATAACCCCAAACTTGGAAGTGGGGAGTTTTGGAAGGTACAAGCTGAGATCTCTTGTTGCAGGTGTCTGGGTTGCTGGAATCATTGGGTCATGGAGAGCATTATTTTAAGAAAAAGAATGTTTTGGGATAATATTAGGCACTTTGCCTCCAAGCACCTGGGTCTCTACCCTGGTAACACCAAGATCAAGCTTCCAAGCAAACCCTGGCGCCCCATCACTGAAAGCCGGAGTCCCCATGACACTCACTTTGTTGAAGCAAGATCCTCTCCCGCTCCGACTTCTCACCCTCTTCCCACTCTGCCTTCCGCTTAGACCACTTGTCTTCCATTTCATCGTGAATGGTGTCCTGCAGGGGGCCATGAGGGAAGGGGACCTTAAAGGAGGCCCAAGACTGTCAGCTCCCGTCCTGCACAGCATCAACCCTGGTGAGAGTGTCCATGTAACTCCTGGGGAGAAATTCCCAGCTAGGGCTGACGGGGCTGACGGCTGGCTGTGAGTGGCATTGCATGGCTGGAGCATCGCGTGCAGCCTCACCAGCGCCCTCCTCAGGGAAGGAAGAAAATGCCCAGAGCGCACTGCCCACACTCTGCAGCCAGGCTAGTTTTTCTCAGCCTCTCTCCCTCTTTCCCTCTCTTTACTCATAATGAAGCCACTGCCTTCGCACTGAGCTACATCCCCAGCTTTTTTTTTTAAATTCAAGATAGGCTGCCTGGCAAGCACAAGGTCCTGAATTTAATTTCTGGTGCAAAATAAATAAATAATCGGGATTGGGGATATAGCTTAGTGGTACAGTGCCTGCCTAGCAAGTATGAGGTCATGGGTTCAATTCCACATACTAAATAAATAAATAAGTAAATAAAATTTGAGGCAGGGGTTGCCCAGGCTGAACTCTATAGATTTGCAATCTTCATGCCTCAGCCTCCCAGAATATTGGGATTATAGGCTGTGATTATTTTTTGTGGTTGAGATGAGGTAAAAGAAGCCAGTGTCACTCCTATTGGTGGCTCAGGTATCTTGAGCCTGAGAAGGGAAGGCCCAGGCCTGGGTGCTGCAGAAGGGGCCAGGCAGGACCTTGGCCAGTGGGATTCCCAGGAGCTGGAAGCACAGGGCTCCTTGGAGCTGCCTGGGGCCGAGGAACCCAGGGACTTGCTGGGTCTAGACCTGGTCCTGTGCTTGATGTTCTTCAACAGCCTTTTTCAGGTGTAAACTCCAAACTGAGTCTGCATGTGGTGTAGAGTTCCTAGGACAGCTTGGGGTGCCCTTGACAGAGAAGCCCCTGGTGACCAGGACTGCTGGGTCACTGTGCTCACCAGTGAGACAAGCTGGAGCTTGGGGCCTCAGTTCTATTATCGATAGCTAAGTTATGAAGAAATATTTGGGCAGTCAGACAAGGCTGGGCCCTGAAAGGTCAATGCAGAAGACACATGTGGTTGGAGGTACATTTGCTGAGGCCAGGCGTCAAGAAAACAGTATGACTACACCCCATAGTTCCCCTAGGAACAGCAGTAGTGACGATATTCTAAATAAACATCTGTTGCCTTCATGTTCCTGAGTCCACCCTTCCAGGAGAGCCTTGTCCAGCCTATGTGAGCTTGTCACTGACTTGCTTCCCAGCTGGATTCCCGTTTAATCAGCATTACCCAAGTGAACACACTTGTTACAATCTTACTGGTTCACTATAGTCTTATCCCACCTCACACTCACTTTGTGGCTTCCCATTGGACCAATATTATCTAGCTGACTATATTTGTTACCTTATTCATTGACTGCAGCTCTGCTCTACCGTAAACCTGCCTCACCTTGTGGCTTTGCTCAATAAAAATCCCCTGAGCAGCGGGGTTGGCAGGCAACCCACTTTCTGGGCCCCTTTCTGTCTCTCTTAGACAGAAGCTTTTCTTCCTTTCAAAAAATTCTTCCTACTCTTCACTGAAAGGTTCCTGCCCTAGTATAAATTTCTGTACGATTATGGCTGGGGTCTAACATGGCAGAGGGCCAAAGCGGAAGCTCTTACCACTTTCTTCTTCCTCTTCAGCCCTAATTGCAACTCCCTCTCCTCTTTGTGCGTGAAGGAAATTCCAATCAGTTCCTCACACAGCATCAATGCCGACCCACGCGCCACTTCATTCAGAGGTCCTATAGCGCTTTGCCTCCTGTTTCTGGTCAGAGGAGACAGCCAGCCACCATGGGCTGTGTGCTCTTTTCCACATCCTCAACAAACCTGTCCTTTTAATTTTTTACTTTTTACTTCTCCATTGCACCAAAAAACTCTAACATTAACCTTTGTTGTTCCTATAACTTATTGCTTGATTTTAGAGAACATGAACTCAGTGTTTCAGACATCTAGCAGACGGGGAGTTTCTTCCCCTGTATTGCTCCCTGCCCAGGGCCCATTGCCTACTCTTGAGCCCCAAAAGAAACATTGCGTCCCAACCCTCACTTCATGAAATCAGCGGACTAAAGGAACAGGCTGGGTTCCGAGGTGGCCACAGTGTTCTGGTGCTCAGACACACACTTGTGGATGGCAATCTGGCCAAATCTACTAATGACCTTGACAGGGTCCGTTCTTCCAACCCAGCCTTCACTGCTCAAATCAAAGATGTTCAAAGTGGTGTTGTTTTGTTTTGGCAAGCAACAATGAACTACTCAAATGTACTCCCAATGGCAGAGAAATAGTGACACGTCAATGGCACCATCACTGGGTAAGACCAAGTCACTACAGAGGAGGAAAAGCTTCTGTTATGCCCTATTAAGAGAGCAGACAGAAGCATGCACAGATTTAGCAGGTGTGGTTGTGCACACTTGTAATTCTGGAAAATTGGGAGGCTGGGGCAGGAGGATCAAAAATGTGAGCCCAGCCTGGATAATTTAGCAATTTAGTGAGAATCTGTCTGTAAAACAAAACAAAACAAAACAAAAAAACCCAAAAAAAACACCTAGGGCTATAGCTCACTGCACAGGCCCTGGGCTGGATCTCCTCTACTACAAAACAACAATAAAACCAAAGCACAGAGCTGACAGCACAAGATCCCAGCTTATTTTTACAAACGGCAAACATTCAAAGTTGTCTGGGCAGATCATTCCTTTCTTGTCAGTGCTGCTGTTGCTTCTTTCTGTCTATGAAAACTAAAGCTATTACTTTTATGACAACAGACATATTTTTCAGTTCGCTTTGTAGGTCATGCTTCCCCCTGGGGGTTTGTGCCTCGTGGCCAGCGGCTCCAGAGACATAGGGGCCCAGACACCACCGCTTGTCCCTGCTTCCAGCCAATGCTTCTTGGGCTTCTTTCCAACTGACGGCTGTGGCTCGCAGGTCCCACAGGGAGCTTCTCTCACTCTTATAACCCACTGCTCAGCTCTGACTCACCTGGTACATGTGAAACATATTCTTCAAATACTTATATTCCTTCTGCATCTCCTCTGGGGAAAAGGAAAGTGACAGCAGGGTCATCTTCATTCATCAGACACACACATTTTCCAGTTTAAATGTGAGCTGCCTGCCTGCGAGCTTCTCGCTCCAACTTTTCTCCAGGCCAGGGCAGGGAACCTGCCACAGCCCATTGTGTGTATCACTGGCAGCTCTGAGGGGTTCACCATCACTACTACTGTGTGCTGCAGAAGCCACCCTGGAAACCTATTGGACTCAAATGCTGTCAGGCGTGGCGGTGCAGGCCTATAATCCCAGCTCTTTGGAAGGTGGAGGCAGCAGCACAAGTTCGAGGCCAACCTGAGCTACAGGGAAAGACTCTGTGTTAAACAACCAAACCCCCAAAAGCAAAAAACTAAAACAAACCACCCCCAAATACCCAATGCCTGGGCCCCACCCCAAACCTCCAAGTCGCCTGTGGTAAACCTCTTCTAGCAGAACCAACCCAAGGGCATCAGCTTCTCTTTTCAGGACCATTTTCCTGGTTTACATTGTAAAAGCAATGTGTGTTCTCTTTAGAAAATGGAAAATTAGCAAAGTATAATTAAGAGTTGTTGTATTTTTGAACTTTAAAATATATGTTGGAAGTTCATGTTCTCAACACAAGGATGAGAGCAAATACTTCTGTCTTTGACTTGCAGATGGAGGAGACCAAGCTTGAGGGGCTCGAGTCACCTCCCTGGAAGACAGTGGGCCCTGGAGGACAGGTCCTTCCTCTGTCAGCCTCATCCTCCATCACTGCCCCAGCCCCAGCTCTGGGAGAAAACCATCTGCCCCCCTCCACCGCATTGGGGCTCCCAGGGCCCCGTGGAGCCGGCACCTTCCCCAGTCCTCCCTGTCCCCACAGTACCTAGTTTTCCTTGTGCCACTGACTTCTCGATCTTCAGGGCTTCTCTGTAACTGTTCTCTAACTCACTGAGCTCCGCCTTGTGAGCCAAATTGAGCTCCCTGTGGGACCCGAGAGCCACAGCCATCAGTTGGGAAGAAGCCCAAAGCTGAGCTGATGTCTGGCCTGTCCCCGGTTCTGCCCTTTTCCTGGAACATTTTCCTGGCTTCTCTGCAGACAGGGCAAGGGAGCCCTGGCTTCCTACTGTACTGTTTCGAATGGAGCAGGCAGGGATGTGGCCTCTCCTACCAGCACAATCTTTGTTTAGCTCTCTTGGGAAACTGAAGGACAGCAGCATTCAGACCAACCTCAGAATCCCGGGTCTCTCCATCTCCAGCCGAGGAGGCTGATGTTGCTGGGTTTAAATGAGTGTTAAAGTGAAAGTCTATGTGAGCTGTCAAGCCACAGGAAAGATGAAAGACGTCAGATACCAATGGCTAAGTAAAAAGAGCCAGTCTCAAAATTCAAGCTCCTGGGTAATGCCAACCACATAATGGTTTGGAAAGAGCACAAATGAGCCAGCAGCAGGTCAGCAGTTGCCAGCAGTTCAGGGATGAGTGGGCAGAGTGCAGTGGATGGCACCATGGCAGTGTGACTGTGGGAATTTACACGTTAAATCTCCAGAGAATGTTCAACACCGAAACTGAACCCTAATCCAAGGATGGTGCGTGACGCAGACATGTCAGTGTGGGTTTGTCAACTGTTTGACATTGTGCCACTCTGGTGATACGTGGACAAGGGGATGCTGTGGGGGTGAGGGTACGGGAGCTTTATTGGAATTTCCTGTATTTTCATATCAGTTTTGCTTTAAACTTGAAACTGCTTTGACTGATAAGGTCTAGGAATCCATCATGGCTGAGTATGGGGAGTGGCACTCTTGGGACCCTTGGAAGACCCTTGGAAGACGCACACTGAAGTGCAGGTGTTCAGAAATGTGGGGAGGTGAGAAAGACCCCAAACAGGGAGATAACCTGAAGGAGAAGCCCATCAGGCAGATCCCAATACCAGGGTGTTCAGAGGACACTGGGCTGCCCCTCGGTCCTGGCATTGCTCACATCCACATCCAAGACCACACCTGGGGAAACGACCCTTGAACAGCGAGGGAACCACCAGCTGAGACATCTGTAGATCAGGGTGCTACAGAACCAAATCCAGACAATTGTTTGGAGGGCAATAATTGAGTTTGGACTGGTGGGCCCTCTGGAGAGCAAAAAAAATAAGGGCATGGCCCAGCTAGGGGCCCAGGGTCCAGATGGGGCCCTGTTGGGTTCTGGAGAAGGCACCGCTCAGGGAGTTGCAGGGGTGTGCAGGGTTGCAACCAACATGATTGACAGAGATGGGGAAGATACTGCTTGAGCAGTGCCAACCTCCCACACTGCTCCCCCAGTCTGGCAAGTTGTGTGCATGGGGTATCCACACAATGGACACCATTCAGACACAGCAGAACCTCCTGCCTCTGTGGGAACCTCCCACCTCCAGACATGAGCTGCTGAACACCACTAAATTCAGAGGCTAGAGTTTGTCTGAGAGTTGGGGACAGAGCCTGGGCAGGTGGGGAGCTGAAGAGGAGCAGCATATCTGGGGGAGTGGGAGCGTGGGGTGGGGAGGGGTTGCATAGTTCCCTGACCAAGGACAGTACCCAGAGAGCAGACAGGGACAGCAGCGGGGAGAGAGCAAGGGAGCCCAACCTACACTGACCAGCCCACTGACTCCTGACACAACTGAAGTCATCCAATGCTAAAATAGAGCAAAAAACCTCCAGTGGACCACGGAGCACGGGTGAAATAATGCAGACAACAGCCTGCAGAGGGGCCAAGCAGCCCGCCAGCCAGGTCATCTGGACTCCCAAGCCCTCTCAGGTGCTGGCAGGCAAGAGAACAAATCATCGGTGGGAAGCAGTGCAGGCATGAGCACTCACCCACTCCTGGGCTTAGCACACACCCCAGGACAAAACCTCCTGTCCCACCTCCCAGCGACTGTGGCAGACCTTTCTCATTTGTGAAAACAGGAGGAAGAAAGTGTGCACTGCCAGACTCTGACTGCAGCACAAAGAGAACCAAGAGGGCTCCACGTTTGTGTTTGTGTGTGGCTGTTTCTGTCTTCTTCCTTTGTTTCCTTTCATTCTGATATACCCATGGGAGGTGTTTATAATGTGGAAAGAATAATACAGATTAATTAGCGCTTTAGTATCTTTCATGACTAGCATGTCAACCCTCAGCAAAAATTTTGTTTAAGGATTCAAGCACAGATTCCTATCAGCATCCTAATTGACCTTCTTTCGGCTTCCTTCAGACTCAACTGAACTTCCCTCCCTCATTTCCTTTTCCTGCTCTTCAATTAACCTTTCAAACTCCTCTCCACCAGGCCTGGGTCTGTAACTCTAGAGGAGCCCCGGGGTTCTGGGCAGCTGGGTTCCCTGAAAGGTCAGGCAGCTTTGCCGGCTAGAGAGCTGATCTCATCTGGGTGGGCTTGTGAATCTGCTCTTCCTGGGCCGAAGCCTTGCAGACTTAGGATACTCTCCAGACTTCTAGGCATTGCTCAGGGGATCTAGAACTGGGCTGCTGGTAACTGGATGTCCCCAAACGTCTGAAAGTGACTTTAGTCACTTTTATCTTGGTGTTCTTGTCTTGGAGGGGTAATACAGGTGAGGTCAATTTACATAGGAAACAGTGTTCAACCTGCCTCATGCAGAGCTGAGCAGGGAGGGGTTCCAAAGTCTTAGGTTTTCATATAAAGGAAGGTGATGATGCCAGCTTTTAATTACCCACAAGGCACAGGTAGGCTCAGTTTCCAGGTCCTTGACTGACTCAAAAGAAAACACAGGTCATACTCTTAAAAGTGACAGGTTAAGGGCCCATGAGTCAGTTTGTTCTCTGCAGTAATCAGTCATTCAGAAGCTCCCTTTTTGTATCATGTAACCTTGGTCGGCTGCATGTTTGTCTGTCTTTCTTTCTTTCTTTCTTTTGAGACAGTCTCACTGTGCAGTTCAGGCTGACCTTGAGCTCACTTTGTAACCCAGGCTGGTCTCAAACTTGGAACAATCCTTCTTCTGCCTCAGCTTCCTGAGTGCTAAGATTACAGGCGTATACCACCATGCCTAGCTAGGTTGTATGTTTCTGGGAACTTACCCTTTCTTAGAATTATTCTATTTGTTGGCACATAATGTCTTGTAGAAGTCTCTTATTGTCCTCTGGTTCTGTTGTACTGTCTCTATGTCTTTTGTCTTAATCTACAATGTTTTGTCAATTTTGTATATTATTCAAAAATCAACTGTTACATTGCTGATTATTTGCATTGCTTTTCTAGTCTCTATTTCATTTGTTTCTAGTGTGATCTTTGTAATTTCCTTCTTTCTGATACAATTGAACTTTGCTTTTTTTTTTTTTTTTAGTGTTTTTAGTTAATGTCAGGTTATTTAAAATCCTTCTTTGGTGCAGAGGCCTCTGTAAATGTTCCTCTTAGTTCTGCTTTTGCTGTTTTATATAACCATTAGTATGCTCTGTTTCTATTCTCATTGTCTTGAGATTTTTTTAAAATTTCCTTTTTAATCTGTTCATTGACCTGTTCATCGTTCAGGAACATGTTTAATTTCCATGGAGTTGTGGATTTTCTAAAATTCTTCCTGCTGTTGATTTCTAGTTTCACACCATTTTGGTTGATATGATTATATAACTGATGTAATTTCAATCTTCACCCATTTTTCCATTTAGTAAAAGAAAAAGTGCAGCTCACTGCCAGTGTTCATTTAATTTTACATAAACACATTCTTTGAGACTGAGGCAAATCTGACTGATTTTCAATGTGAAAATAAAATATAAAACTGTTCTTGAAATTATTTCAAAATAGAATTTTTCTGTAATCTTCATGTAACATAAGCATATTAATATCACACATTCAAATGCTACATTTCTAGGATTTGATATTTCATGATTGAGAATTATTTTATTTTACTAAAAATGTAATGATGTCTCTTTTTTGGTCTTTTTGAGACATTCATATATGCATGTATTTAAATTTCACTATTCTTTCTCTATGTTATTATACTAAAATGTACATATGTCCATTTACTAATTGCTAACTCAGCCTTGTACATAATGCTTAACTATAATTTTCAGAAATAACACCGTGACAGAACAAGGATGGTCAAAAAGAGGTTTCTCAAGAATTTGCATGCAAGCAACAGAGAGGGTCAAAGGTAAATCAGCAGTTTCAGAGTCCAAAACAGTCAAGCAACTTTCAACAATTCTTAAGGGGGAGAGTCCCTTCTTGCCATATAATAAAAGGGGTTCAGAAGACACTCAGGTATCAGTTTCAGGGTCTCTTCCTTACTCTAAGGTAGCTGTCCATCTCTTTATATTTCTCTCCTCTTTCTAGTACAGTAGTTTTATTTGTCCTTCTTAACTTATATATATAATTCTTTATTTATGTTTTTGAATCCCACATTATTAAAATTTACCTTCCCAAGAAAAGACAGTAGGATAGGAAGCACTTGTAAATATGTCATGGTACGAGACTTTTTTGTTTTTGTCTTTTTCAGACAAGGTCTCACTATGCAGTTCAGGCTGACCTTGAGCTCACTTTGTTGCCCAGGTTGGTCTTGATTAAATGCTACAGCCCTAAGGCAAGTACCCTTGGGGCAAGTGGGAAATGGGTTGGTTTTGTGGAGGCTTGTGTTGTGCCCTGCATGTGATCTGGTCTGGAGAATGTTCCACGTGCACTTGAGAAGAGCCTGTTTCCACTGCTGTTGGATGGCCTGCTTAGTACACACCTTTACATCTGTTCGGTCTAACAATGGCTTACTCCAATGTTTCCTTATGAATTTTCTGTCCAGATTATCTATGTATTGTTGAAAGTGGATATTAAAAGCTCTTATTGTTATCACGTTTTAATTCATTGCAGTATTTATACCTTATTTAGCTCTGTGATAACAGTTTTGTCTTTTGATCCTCTTACTTGGGATAAATTTGCATTAAACACCACCATCACAGTCTGAATGTTTTCTGAATACTGTTCTATTTTACTTGAACCATTTTTTGTCCACATTTCTTTTTTGCTTTGTTTTGTTTTTCTTTTTGAGACAGAATGCTATGTATTCAGGCTGGTCTTGAACTCACTATGCAGCCCAGGTTGGCCTCAAACTCACGGCATGCTCCCAGATGCTGGAATCACAGCGGTTGCCACCACACCCGGCTGTCTACATTCCATGTTATTGATTAGCAGCCATTTGCTCTTTAGCAGTTTCTGTAAAACAAGTCTAATGGTGAGGAATTCCTTCTGCTTTTTGACTGTCTGGGAAAGTTTTTATTTCTCCTTTTCCTCGAAAACAGTTTTGCTGGCTTAGGCAGTTTTACTCAAGAGTCCTTTTAGTACACCATCTGCTCTGCCGAGAAACTTGCTGGTAGCTATATTGGACCCCTGTGTATATGATATGTTTATTAGCCCTGTTGCTCTTAAAAATCTCTGTCTTGATTTTGAGAGTTCAATTATTAAGGGTCTTGGTGCGCTCCTCTTTGGGTTGAATCTGATTGAGGCTGATTAGCAGTAGGTACAAGGAAGCTTTGTATTTTCCCTTCAAGTGCAGAGAACCTAAGACTGCTCTAAAAACTGAGCTAACTAGATACACAGACTGCTATGCAGGACTTCGCCAGAGGGTCACTTCTCCACCAGAAACCTGGGGCTGCTCTGGGCCCCCACGGGCTGGGGGGAGGCGAACTTGAGCTTCTCCTCACCCACACAGACAGTGTGCCTCCCTCCTATCTCCCCCCCGGTTTGTCATCGCCCACGCCCCCAACGCCATACTTCTTCCTAATTCGCCTAAGATCTGATTTAGCATGCCGGGAAAGCAGCGATAAGTGAAGGAAAAGAAGAAGAGGCTGAGGAAAACACCCGATTATCGCAGACGTCTTGAGAACAGAGTGGCTCTTCTCAGGAACCAACAAAAGAAAGCTTATAACTGAAATGAAAAAACTACAAGCTGATAGAACACACAAGCAGGAGTAACCTGTCCTATGCTGCATCTCAGCGGCTCCAGCGCGCCACTCCGCTCGCACCGACTCCGGGGTCCCCCCTCCGCCCCCTCGTCCCCGTGGGGCGCGGGCCGCCCTGCAGGGCCACCGGAGCTGGGGTCCTGGGCGCACCGGGGCGGGGCGGAGCGCATACCTGGTCTTGCAGTCAAAGCTCCGCTTCATGGCATCGCAGCGCCGCTCCATTTCCCCGCAGAGCTAGAAACGAGGCCGAGTCGAAACCGGTCAGCGGCGGAGAACCAGAGGCTGGGGATTGTCTTCATCCCCCAGGCCCGGCCCCTTCACCTCCAGGCCCCGCCTCTTCACCCAAGACCCCTCCCTTTAACCTCAGGTCCCGCCCATTCATCCATAGGCCCCGCCCTCCATCCTAGGGCCCCGCCTCCCCAGCCTCAGGCCCTGCCTCATCCAGGCCCCGCCCCTCACCCAAACCTCTTCCCTTCACCACCAGGCCCCGACTCTTCATCCAAGGCCCCGCCCTTCAACCTCAGGCCCCGCCCCTTTATCAACAAGCCACACCCATTCACCTCCAGGCCCCGCCTCTTCACCTAGGCCCCGCCCCTCACCCCAAGCCCTTCCCTACATCCCCAGGCCCCACCCCACACCTCTCCTGTCCTTTTCTGCTTGTCAGAGTGACCTCATTACTGAAGGAATGAACATGTGTCGCCTTGCTCTTTGTGAATTTGGACTTAATCCGTTCACAATGCTGGAGCGCGGAAGCCACCTCTTTGGTTTCCGTGGCCAGTCTGTACCAGACTGCTGTCCCTTTGTGAAATCGTGGACCGTCAGGGGACGCAGAGCTGGGGTCAGCAGGCCCCGCGGACAGCAAGTGGGACATGCGCCCTTGGCGAACCTTCTGACTCACACTGTGGGGCCCGGGCCATGTTCCCACCCCCAAGGAGGAACCAGCTCCTCCAAGCCAGCCGCTGCCCAACCGTCAGCTAAGACAATGGTCAGGGGTTGATCTGTCCCTCTCTGACACCCCAAAGGCATCCTTCCAGCCCACAGTCACGCTGTGAGTGGGGTGCCCACATGAGGGAGCGTTCTGGAGCCACCGTGTCGGGTCTCCGTGGAAACAGTCCATAAACATGTCTTCCGCAAGGCCCATGCTCCCGAGTCAAAATGCACACTCTGCCCAATAACCTGGTCTCCTAGGCTGAGCGACCTCATGCAGATCATGTGATTTCCTTTCCACAGACACCGGCCTGCAGGGGTTTTCAGATAAATAAGGCCGGGCATCAGGAGTAGGCAGGGTTAGCCCGAGTTCCAGGCTGGTTCTCTACAGGAGCAGATATTCCTGGGCCACTGGAAAGAGACTTCCAAGCAGGGCTCCAGCCAGCCACCAGCGCGAGGGAGGGAAGGGCCCTGCTGGAAGACCTGGTAAAACCTGGAGAAGCACCCCGACACCCAGGAAACAGCCGCATGAGCCACGGGAGTATTGATATTTCACAGGAGCAAACGTCAGAGCCGCACACTGGAGACACGAGCAAGGGCCTGGCACCCTCCGAAGCCAGTTGCATAACAGGGCCCGCTAGGATGACTGTCCCCTCCACGGGGAGGAGACACCCAGAAAACGCCCAGGTATGTGAATCGCAGTTATGAAGGAGGATGGGCTTGGAGATACTCACAGGCTCTTGGTCCCACACAGGAGGAAGGGGACGGCCTCTAGCTTGGCACATATGAGTCTTACCCTACCAATAAAGATGCAAGGTTCACTCACCAATTTCCGGGCAGCCTGGTGGTCTCTGTTCATTTGTTCTATGATGGTAGTCAGTTCTGAGATCTGCTCTTCAAGGTCACAAATGATACTGGCCCTGTATCACAAGCAATTCTTCAGTCATCACAGAGTTTCCCATAGGATGCAGCCAGGTCCCCAGGAGGGTGGGCACATGCACCAACATTACAGGCCAGTGACAGCAACAGGTGTACTTTGCAACAAGGTGATGAAAACCCAACCCAGAAAAAAAAAAAAAAAAAAAAAAAAAGAAAAGAAAAAAGAAAACCCAACCCAGCAGGGCTGAGCAGGGAGCAGAGTAGTTTAGCCCCCTACTAAGAAGAGAATAGGACTACATCAGACATTTATGAGAGTCTGACCTTAGAGTATGACAGCTGAAGTGGGAGTGGGAGCATCAGAGGCCTGGAAACAGAAAGGTAGGGGACAGCTCTGCTGGTGGCAGGGAATGGGCTGCAGATGGAGGGAGAGGGCATTTCTGAGCGGGTAGCAATTTTCTCTTTCAGGTGATCGGCCCTGTGAGAATGTACCGGAGGGGAAAGGGTGCAGTGGAGCTGAGGGCCCCCGATGTGTCCCCTGGCCAGGGGAGGCTGGGAGGTGAGGAAAAGGGGGAGGGCACAGGGAAGGGGGGAGGCTGCTGGGTGTGAGAAAGTCAGGCCACATCTTTAGAACTCGGTCTGCAGTGTCTGCAGGGAAAGTAGTGCTCAGCTTGACAGGCAACAACACAGGTGTGGGCTGCTGCGTCCTACTGTGTGGCAGCTGGTGACAACTGCCCTTCCTTTCTTTCTTTCTTTCTTTCTTTTTTTTTTTTTTTGGTGGTACTTGGGATTTAACCTAGGACCTTCATGCTGAGTTATGCCCCAGCATGGCCACCCCTTTAATATTTTATTTGAAGACAAGATCTTGCTAAGTCACTAAGTTGCCCAGGCTGAACTTGGCATCTTCCTGCCTTGTCCTCCCAGAGTGCTGGCATTACTGTACTGTGCCCTGTGACCACTCTGTTATGAGCCATGAGGCAGCTGTGGGTACCGGCCTTACTGAGGACCGGCCCCTTCTCTCCTGCAGAAGGTGAGAATGAGCAGCAGGAAAAGGGAAACAGGCTGAATGTCCCCACGGGTGAAAGGCCCAGTCTGGGGAGGCTCCCCGGGGCCAGGTGGGGCCAGGGCAGCTTCCAGGTGTGACCTGACTCCCTCTGTAGGGGCGACCACCCCTTGTGGTATGGGTGTTCCCTCTCCAGACCCCAGCAGATGGGCGTGTGGGGTGTGTGTATGTGTGGTTTTTTTTTTTCTGCTACTGTTGGCCTTTTAGATTTCTGTTTTAGAAAAACAGTCCTCAGAGTGAATTAAAGCCTGAAGGGGAGGCACTGTGAACCATTCCACAGGGCAGGGAGGTGGTGACAGTGGAAATGAGCAGACAGGGATGCGGCAGCAGGAGGCAGCGTGCAAGGGTGTGGGGTCAGCCTTGGATGGGGCTGTGATCCACAGGGCGGGGTGGCCACAGCTCTGCACCCTGCAGCTCCCAGAGAGGGAATGCTGCGCTTGGGGCTCAAGCAGCGGGGTGCTCAGTATGCACCGCCAAGAGGAAGCGACTCTCTGACAGCTTCTCTTGTGTCTCACCTGAGAGCAACGCTCAGTCCCCCTGCAAACCTCTATCCTGCCGGCACCAGCTCGCAAGCAGGCTCCCAGCACAGTGCGGCTTGGGAAGGGGCAGATGAGCTCGAGGCACCTCTGGGCAGGGGTCCCTGCCCAGGTCACGGAGAAGCTGGAGGCCTCCCGGGGCTGGAATGAAGGCACTACCTGGGGCTGCTGACTCTGTCTGTGACTTCAGGTTCTAGCTGCTTCTCCCCATTGAACATCTCATCTCCCAAGGTGACAGAAACTTGCTCACGACTCCGAACCAGCTGGTAGCCAGGTGACACGTCAATCACCTCCTGGACGCCAGGAAAGGGAAAGTGAAGCGAGGCGTGCTGGGCTCCTTTTCGTCCTCTGCCAGGGCTTGGCTCACCTCTCAGGAACAAGCCATGGGGTGACAGCCTGGGTCAGCCCCTTCGGCGCCCTTTGCAGCGTGCACTGAACCATCTCCAGATCTTCCCTACATTCTGCAGGCCACCAGCCTCTCTGTGGCCTCCTCCTCCGTGCCAGAGCTAGCAGGCAGGGGGGCAACACCGAAATGCCAGGCCTGAAGCTAAATCTTGGCCCTGCCACTTACCCACAGTGACTTAATAGCTGAGCGTTTCGCTTCCTCATCAGGAAATGGGGACAACTCCCCTGCAAAGGGCTTAGGGGGCCAAACCCAGGGCTCTCCGTGGAGCTGCATCCCCAGCCCTTTCTGCAGCTCTTATTTGGAAACAAGGTCTCTGCGAGCCACTGAGTTGCCCTGGCTTGCTCACACTTGCCATCCTTCTGCCTCAGCCTCCCAGAGTGCCAGGGTGACAGGTGTGGGCCACCATTCAGGGACTGCAAAGGGCCTTTGAGAGGAAAAGACAAACTATCGTGAGGAGCTCACCGGTCCATTCCCCCTGTCCCTTACTAGATGTCCAGTCGAACCTGGCAGGGCGGCTTCTCACCTGAGGTGAGCTAGGCCTCACTCCTTCCAGCCTGACAGGTCAGGTCTCGAGGCCCCAGGCATCACAGCCTGAGATGGCCTCTCAGGCTCGTGGCCGCTCAGACTGGCCTCCCCAGCAGCACTCCGGACTGAGGCCTCATCTCTCCAGTGCCCTCAAGGTGCCCAGCAGCCCCGGATGACCACTCCCATGGGCAGGGCATGGCTGAAGCCCCTGTGGGGTCAGCAGAGCCTCCACCACCAATGGCCAGGAGTGATGCATTTGTTCTCCCAAGCCCCAGGCACCTAGGCGGGTGTGGGGCAGGGGTCCTCCCCAATTACTCACCTGAGGTGACTTCTGGGTCTCTTTGCACCTCCCAGGATGGATGCCCAGTCTGCAAGACAGGGACACGCTCAGAGCAGCAAGACCAGGGCGGGGTAGGAGGATGGGACAAATCACAACAGAAAAAGGGAAGGTGCAGATGCAGACTTGTACTTGCAGTAAAAGTGGAGGTTCAGGACACAAATGCAGCCCAAAATCCCTACGGGCCCCAAAGATAGGACTCCTGGGCTGCACCCTTGCCCTTGAATGAGCTAGGTGGAACCTTTCTTTTTTTCTTCTTTCTTTATTTTTATTTTTGAGGCAGAGTCTTGCCACATAGTTCAGGCTGACCTCGAACTCAATATGTCGTCCAGGCAGGCCTTGAACTTATGGTGACCCTCCTGCTCCACCTCTCCAGTGCTGGTATTACAGGCATAAGCTACCATGTCCAGCAGACAGAATCCTTTGAGTTTTTGTGTGGGTTGAGCTCAGCTCTGTCACCTTCTCCTGTAGGGACAGGGAGAACTGTAGGTAGGGAAAGATAAGACAAGGCCTCACTGAGCTTCATTAAAAATCAGAAAGGCAGTTTGACCTCTGCAGCCAGAACCCCCAGTTATAAGGCCAAAGGCAGGAAAGTCAAGCAATTAAGAATCAAAGGCAAAGGAATCAGGAGCGGGAGGTTCCTAGGCAGAAAACCTCCTGTTAATCCTATAACCTACCAGTCCATAAGGACTCTCGACCCCATAATTTTACTCCAAAGGACAGAGAAAGGTCACATGGCCAGAGGAAATCCAAAGTTAGGATGAAAGACAAGCCAGGAAGCCAGTCAGATCCAAGAGCCGGTGTGGGACAAAGATCTCAATGAAAGGAGCTGCGAACCAGAGATCCAGGGGAATTCACTGCTGAATTGTCCCTGTTGGTTCAGAGGCATCTCTTCTCTTCCTTTCCCATCTTCAGATGAACCTTCTTCTCTTGTGTTAAACTGCTTCCTCAACTTTCTACCCGCGCTAGGTTTGAGATCGCCTGGAGCTGTGTGTTCCAGCAAAGTGGTGGTGTGCTGTCCACCTGTGAGGGCATTTGTAACCCCAAACATCCACTCCTGAAAAGCCTCCTTCCCCCTAATTGGCCATAAAACTATGAAAGGGGAACAAGTGGTTTTATTTCAAGGTGGAAAAGCTGCCCGATGCCCACCTCCTGTGTGTCAATTAACCAGATGTGTAAAAAAGTCTTGTAATATTCCAAAGAATGATGGTGTTGTAAAAAGTGGTATTCACGGCAACCCTCTGATCTTTTATAAAAAAAGAGAATAAAGGATCGCGGTCAGTAGCTCTGAGGGCCTGAGGCTGCTACTAAATGCTGCGGTGCCTAAAATAGAGCTCACTTGTTTCTTGACTCTTGGTTTCCCATGGGTAACCCTCTTGCGAGTGCCACTACACACCCCAGATATTGCATTGTGGCACAACGCAGCATGGTGTTCAACCCTTTTGGACATTACACTCCTACAGGAAGAGCTGCCACCTCCCACCTGTAATCAAAACCCTCTGCCCACAGACTCCAGCTCCCCTGGCTCCACATAAATACACCTAGCCCTGTGCTGTTGCCATCTCTGTCTCTCTCTCTGGCCACACTGTTTCTTTGAGTGTGTACTTTAAATTCTCCCTGATGATCCTGTTAATGCCTCTGATGAATGGAAGTCACCCGACCTTGCAAACCCTGTGGGTGGGGTGAGTCCAGGTTCCCCTTCTCTGTATTGGGGCCTTCTGGGGCACTGATGACATTTTGTCCAAAGCTGGGGAGCTGACCCTCGAGGCCACCATCACCTGACCCCTGCTCTTGAGCTCCTTGACATTTGGGAGCCCTGGGACAGTGGGAGCCACAGATCCAGGGTGCATGTACTGCAATCTCTACACTGCGGGGCTTCTGCGCTGGGTGCTCCTGGGTGGATCTGGAAGCTGCGCACATGCCTTGTGCCTCCCTCCCACCTTCCAGGCCACAAAGGCTTCTCCCACCACTGCAGTCATCATTTCCACTTCCTCTTTCACTAAAAGGACCCTTGAGATCACATTGGGGTCCTTGAAACATTCAGGCTGGCCTCTCCTATCAGCAACCCTGATGCCACCTGTAACTAGCTCCTCTTCATCGAGGAACATGATGTAGTTGTGGTTTCCAGTGGTTGGAGCATGGCCATCTGTGGGGCCACCATCCTCCTACTGCACTGACCATCTGTCACCATTTCCCTGAGTTCAGCTCCACCACCCTCCCTTCCTGCTGCACTTGTGCTGCCCCAGGCTTCTTGGTGTCCCTGGGAGGGCCAGGTGCTGTTGGGCTTTGTCCTGTGGGGCCTGTCCCTGTGTCCTCTTGGTCAGCAAGGCCTCAGGTCTCAGCAGGGTCCTGCTGCTCCTCTATCCAGTGGCTCGTCCTGCTCCCTCTTCCTACAGGTTTTTCTCACTTCTGCTCCCTGTTAGAATATAAACTCCAGATGGCAGATGCTTTCCTGGCTTTTCTGAGCTGAAACAGCTTTTCACAGCTGTTTCCTTAGCACCTCAAACAGTACCTGAGAAGCAACAGGTACTCAGTAAATAGTTTCCAAATAAGCAGAATACAAAGACCCAAGCAAAGACCTAATGCTAAATCATACTTCTAAGCTTGTCAAATGTGCATCAGAATTGTCATTTGTGATGAAAACTGATGCAATCTGTAGAAAAGGTTTGACACAGGAAGGTGACCCGAGGAGGTTCAAGGACCGTGGGGCCTTGTGCAGGCCGGAGGCTTGGGGAGCGCAGGTCCTGGTCAGGCAGGACTGGGTCAGAAACAGGGGAGACCATTTTACCCACAGGCCTGCAAACCTTCCTGCCTTGGGACCTAAATACTTACTTAGGGGCAACAGTGGGTTTGGTTGCTGGCAGGGGCTGGAGGTAGTTGTGTTCTTTTGAAACTGGTAGCAGAGGAGTTAACCTGAAAGTGAAAACAGGTAACTGAAACAGAGTGCTGGAAATCCGAAAGCAGTTTCCACAGTCGCCAAATACATCCCCGAGGGGACTCAAGAGGGAGTTAATGCTGGACAACTGGGGTTTCAAAGATCCCAGGCCAGCGCCTGGCACTCACTTCCAGGACGGATGGTGGCTGCATGGTGCTGAAAGCTGCCCTGTGCTAGGAATCACTGGACAACATGGAACCAGGTCTGGTGGCACATGCCTGTAATCCCAGTATTTGGGAGGCTGAGGCAGGAAGATCCCTGTGAGTTTGAAGCCAGCCTGGGCTACATGAGCAAGTTCAAGGCCAGGCTACATTGTATAGTGAGGCCCTGCCTCAAAAAAGGAAAAAAAAAGAAAAGAAAAAGAAACAACATAGAACTCTCAGGATTGGCTGGGTTGGCACACAGCCCAGGCTGGCCAGGAAGATGTAGAAAGCTGGGCACACCTTGGTTTGGGCACCCTTGCATGACAGAGAAGGGTAGAGTGAAGTCAGCTATGGCCTCTTGCCACACACAGCCCTCCCGTTCCTTACTTGGACCTCCGCCAAGAGGCCTTGGGTGGAGGCTGAGGTGTCCTGATGAGCTTCCTCGGACCCAGGCCCCAGGGGTCCCAGCAAGTGCAGTAGATGAGAGGGTTGCGGTACATGGTCAGGTCAGCAATGGTCCCTGAAGCAGGAGAACAACAGCAGAATTGCTCTGTCACTTAGAGTCAAAGCAAAAACGTTCAGTGGGCAGTTGGGAAGGGCTGAGGCACAGTGGCCACAGCATAAAACCTCACTCCTCCTCACCCGGGGACCACACTTGGAACCAGTCTAAAATTTCCAAATTGAGTTTCTATAGTGAGCCAGGTACACACTGTATTTCTCTGAAAACAAGACCTACTTGGAAAATAAGCCCTACCATGATTTTTCAGGATGGTTGTTATATAAACCTTGCGCCCCAAATAAGCTGCAGTTAAGATCATCAGCCAGAGGGGCACATTTAATACATCATGGTGACACATGGCAGACATATGGATTGTCAAATAATAATACTAATATAATTAAATATATATCAATAATGCTGATATTAATTCTTAAAATAAACAATATAAATTATAATTATTTGTGAATACCCAAGCGGACAAGAGGTTGCCAGCAGTGGAACCCTGGGCGCACACGTGCTGCAAACCGAGTCGCTGAACGGCCTGAAGCCTCACCCTCGTGGGCCGACGTACACAGAGAACTCGAGACTCACTGCTGAGAGACCGACTCACGCATGGACACGATACATGAATCACACACACCTAACCAGCACGGCTGTGTCTAATATGACGCCTCAGCATTCAACAAACTGTGTGTTTTGACAAATGGACCCACATACTAGTGTGACATAAAGACACATGTTGTGAATTTTGGTGTCTGCAGGTTTTCATTACTTTGGCCTGGACCATCATTCTTGACTGTCATGCCTTTGTTGCCATGCTTATCCCATTAGTCTTTTTGGGGGGATACTGGGAATCAAAGTGACAACCTCACGCTTGGCAGGCAGGTACAGTGCCACTGAATTCCCCCTGGTCCCCACCAGTCTTTAATTAACACTTGATTTAGCGGAAACTGTGAAGCCCAGCTGAGAAGAGTGATTTGGGTGAAGAATTCAAAATCACTGGCAGCTGTCAGTGCCATGAGCAGGCTACGTGGACAAGCAGCGCTCATTTAAGGAGAACGGTACTGCTGGCCATGAGACGGGCTGACAGTTCCTACAGGAAATGGAAAGAACTCCAGGCTAGGGGCTGGGGATTTAGCTCAATGGCATAAATGCCTGCCTTACAATTGTGAGATTGTGAGTTCGATCCTCTACCCACCCCCCCCCAAAAAAAAAATTCAGGCCAGCATTGGAATCTAGAGAGTTACGACAGTGTTTCAGAAGAAAAGGACATGACTGTTACTTGAATAAACGTAAATTGTTGTATGTGGAAGAAAAAGATATCCTCTGACAATAAGTCCTATTGCATTTTCTGGAGCAAAGATTAATGCAAGACCTGGTCTTTTTTGTGGAAATTTGGTGGTAAGTGGTCAATTGTTTGTATCTGCATTTTACAAAGAAGCTCAGAAAGCTCACAGAGTGGTGAGTTGCACAGTGGGGAACACAGTCGCTGACACCCTCTCCCTTCTTTCAGGTTGCCAGAGAGCTCCCTGAAGTCCAGAGCAAGTCCCACCCCAGCTCTGCACACAACGTCTGGGACATTAGCTCTGTAACTACAAGTGTGGTGCACGCGAACATCCTGGTTTCTCATTCCTGGTCCCCTGCACAGATTACAGGAGGAAACTTCCTATCATGAGGCTTGGCATGAAAGATGGGAAGACTTGACCACACTTGTGTATCTTTGTCCTATTCCAGAACTCTGCTGAAATGACAGTATAGGATTAAGAGGGTTCTAGTTCCACAGTGTCAGGCCTGACCTGAAAAACAACTTCCCAATAAAACACACTGCCCCTTACAAACATAAGGAATCCACTACAAGGACCATGCTTCCCTCAGCAAACAAAACAGATGGCCATAAAGAAATTCAGGACTGGACATACGATCTTCCAGGTGCCAGGCTGTCTAGCAGTGTCTGCAAACCTGCGCTGACAGTCCTTGAAACTTAGACCCCACCCTTCCATCATCCTTGAGATTATAAGTGCCAGTCCCCAAACTCAGTGAACTCCCTTCCTCCTCCAGACCACGGCTGATGCTACCTCAGCCTGCCTGCACCTAACAGAACTACACTCTGCCTTTCCTGTGCATGAGCCTGTCTCTGGTGTTTCTGCATGAGAAAATGGGAGAGAAGACAACAGGCTTGTGCTTGGCACAAGAGGAGCCCTCACTGTGGCGCACGGGGGCCTCTGTGCTTGCAAAGCGGCAGTGGAGAGCAGAGTTAAAGAAAATCTTTAAAACCAGACAGATTTGTTATCATGCCTGGGAATTTCTGTTCTATAAATGTACTCATATTTTATAGAACTAAGGATTAAAGCCTTCATAATGAGCTATATCTCCATCTCTTTTTTGAGACAGGGACTTGTTGATTTGCTAAGCTGTGCACCCTGGGCTTAAACTTTTTTTTTTTTTTTTTTTCCTTTTTATTGGTACCGATAACTGCCTGCTTGCAAGGCAGGTGCTTATGCTGCTGAGCTAAATCTCCAGCCCTTGGGCTTAACTTTTGATTCTCCTTGTTTAGCTTCTTTGGGTGTTGGGTTCACAGGTGTGTGCCACCACACCTGGCTTCATTTATATTTTTGACCAGTTTTCTAAAGATGAATGTTTGTTTCTTTTTTCTCATTGTAACAATGCTTTGGTGTTTGTTAATTCACTTATAAAGTTCTCTTCCTTCAAATATCCATCAGAGTGATATTTAAAACACTTAAGAACCAGAAATACAAGGCCATTGAATAGCTGAAGTGAATTTGAGCTGGGGGGTGCTGGCAAGCTACTGGAGGACCCCACTCCCTCACATCTCATCTCAGTTACTAAACTATGAGCTCTTGGGACAGCCAAGGCGACAAGAAGGACTTTGGGATTCCTGGACATTTGCTGTCAGCAACTGTGCATACAGCTAACACCAGCCCTTGACTTCAAGGTCTGGCTGAGAAGAAACCAGTTAGTAGTCTTTTTAGGCATTGTTCCAGAAATGTTCTGAGTATTTGTGTGTGCACATATTTAATATTTTTATATAAATGAGAGCATAGTTTGCACACTATGTTGTATCTTGCTCTTTTTACATAATAAGAAGTGTAATATATTCCACATCATCACAGCTTGATTTCCTGAACTAGTGCTGATTTGACATTATATTGTATAGTTGTGAGGATATAGGGTGTGTGTGTGTGTGTGTGTGTGTGTGTGTAAGGACTCTTTCTCCGTTCTTTCCCTTTTCTACATTTCTCTCTGATGATCTGTTTGAAGACCAGAGGGCTGGATGTGCCAGCTGGTGACACACTAGCTGGTATAAACAACTGGAAAAAATTAAATAAAACATCTTTCCAAAAGAACTTACCTTGGATTGTTCAAAGTTTTTTTTCTTGTGGTTCCTTCCCAAATCAAGTGCTTTAAAGAAATCAAAATGTTATAGAGAGACTCAATTCATTTTAAATCAAATTCAGAGGTTCCAAAACTCAGAACTTCGATGGTTACTCTAAGTGGTGGAGACAGCAAAGAAACCCACAGTAGGACAGTAGTGCAGTCAGATCCAGGGATCTAGCCTAAGGCTTCCCCAAAGGCTGAACCGGCTTGAACAGTAACTTCTGAAGACCATCCAGTCAGTCCTGGTGTCCCAAGGAAGGTTAGAAACAGGAGATAACACTTTTCCACTTAGAGATCAGCCTCTCTTGGGAAGCAGGGGTGGTTTGTTTCTTTCATCACTATGGAAACAGAATGGTAGCACCTCATTGGCTCAGGGGAATCTGTTATAGAGAGAAAGGTGAAGCAGCAGCCAGTTAAGTTTTCTAAGATACAAATATAGGGACCGTCTTCGATCGCAGTTTGGGGGATTCACAGTGAGTTTCCGCTTTCATCTTTGGCTGTGAGACAAAATAAGTTTAAGATCTGTTTTCAGGACAAACTGATTTACACGGCATTCCTCGGCTTGGCTGGCCCATGGCTACAGTTGCTAGGGTGCTGTGGCAAACCCTGAAGCTGGCACTTTCTTCCCACTCTAAGGCTTTGTAAGCTGTAAAGTACCTGTCCCCAGGGTAGGGATCTTTTTCAGTTACTAACAATTTCAAAACCTTTTTTCTTAATAAAACTGATTTTTCTCTCTATAGGGAAGTTACTTGCTTTTTATTTTATTACTGAAACTCATCATGATACAGTATAATTAAAAGTTTCATGAAAGGTCCTGGGAATTGAACTCAGTCTCACACTTGCCAGGCAGGCACTGTGCCACTGAGCTATATTGCTGGCTATTTTTGTTTTTCTAAATGAAAGCTAATTCTAATCCACTAGACTGATTTTGCGACTCACTTGTGGGTTTCAACCCAGTTTGCAAACCGTGTTACAAATTCATCAGACCTGTGACCTCCATTGTTGCCTGCTTGTCAGGTACTGCGGTGAGTGGCAGGGAAGCACCTTGGCCCTTGTGCTCAGCAGAGACTGAGAGATGGGAAGCAGACAGCCAGTGTGTTAAGGAAAGCACAGTGACCCTCCCCTCAACTGTCATCTGTTCACAGTGAGGAATGCACCTCTACTAAGCCAAGCAATAGTTTTCATAGGGATCTGACTGGATCTGTATATTGGAACATCATTTTGGTCAGAGGGCACTGACAAGGTGCGGGAGCACCAGGCAGGTGCCTGTGGCAGGGGTCCCGATGTGCTTCCCACAGCCCCGACTGAGGAGCAGCAGCAGGATGGACAAGATGACACAGCAGAACTGGTGGCTGATGGGATATCAGGGTGAAGGAGACAGTGGTGTTTGCCTCTCTAGCTCCAGTGCCATTTACTGAGACAGGAAAGTCAGGGGGATAAACAAGCTTGTGGGAAAAATATGAGTTCAGCTTTGAACCAGCCAAGGTGGCAGGGAGACAGCCAAGTTGATGCATCCTGGGGTTCAGAAGAGTCTGGGCAGAAACAGGCGTAGGCGTCTTGTCTTCAGAGTGGGGAACACTGGAAACTGTCGATCACACAGGGAGTGGATGTTATGTCAGAAATGCATCCAAGCCCAAACTGGGGCCCAGGAGCACCAGTATTTGTACTCATCAAAACATGGGCTGTGGGTTAGAATACTTACAGCTGTGACTTGATCATTAGTGGCTTAACTTCACAAAGTACAAAGTCCGGAGGTGATATAGTCAGAGCTGGGGCAGACTGGGCAGAGTCCCTGTGATGCCTGCCTGGGTTGGGCTGAGGGAAGTCCCCTGGTGGGACTGTGGCTTCCGCTGCACCCAAGTGCCACAAACAAAGTGGAGACTTTCAAAATTTAAAAGGAAGGAAGAAATTACAAGGAAAAAACTGGCAGACCAGTCATCTAGCCAAATTCATATCCATCTAGGGACTAGATAGTTGAGTCAGTTCATTATGTAAAATTTTGTATTTAAAAGTGTTCTTAGGATTTGTAAAAAGCAGGATTTAGATTTTGAGTGAAGCATAGCTGAAAACAAAGATAGAAAGAAGCAGCTAAAGGAAACCCAGCCACATGCCGTAGCCACCGATTTCTACTACCTGGGAATTTTTCTCTTTTCTTCCTCCTGGACATAACTATAGCTTTGTCAGTTCCAAAGCAGCAAAGAGGAAAGAAATGAAGGCTCTGAGGGGTGAAGTGGTAGCTGTGTTTCTCACTCACTTTAGAGAAACATTGGCACTGTCTCTTCCTCCCAAGCACACTGCCACTGTATTGGAACAGGGGTGGAGGAAAAGCGTAACCGTGGTGTCACAAAGTGCAAGCTGAAGGCTTGATTTGGAGCTGTAACTTGGCCCAGACACCCGCGTTACCAGACGGGTCCACACTTGGGGAAGGGACGTCCCACTGCACGGTGCTGCGGCATCCAGAGGCCCCGCATGTGGTTAGTCAGGAGCAACTGGACCCTGTGTGGCCCTACTCGCAGGCAGCACTTAACACCCCACTGTGGAGGATGCCGTCCTCCTGGAAACCGTCTCCACCCCACACAGTTCCCTTTATCACCCATAGGTGCTGGAGATCTGGCTTCAGGCTGCCACGCTCACTCCCAGGCAGGGGCCACACAGTCACATTTGTCAGTTGGGCTGGACCTGGGCTATGGCCAGCAGGACCTGTACCCCTGAATGGTGCTCCTGTCATTGCTTCTCAGGTCTTGGGGATGCTTCTCTACACCTCAGCCCTGACCTCCAAAACAAGAGGTCTGCATGTAGATGTGACAAGATCTGAGGTGTGCACTGTCACAGAGGGCAACTGTCCAGATGCTAAGCATCTCTGTTCTTAATGTGTAGTTACGGGCCCTTATGCACTGGAGTAACATCTGCATCAGTGGTGGGGAAGACCATTTGCACTCCAAGTCCTGACTGCACTGAGATGGAGGTGTACAGCCCTGGACAGGCCTAAGGCTTTGTGGGAGAAGATGAAAACGGCTGTGTGCGGTAGAGGCTTCATGAAACTGACTGAAAACTTGGTAAAAACTTCTAGCCCATTTTAATGTTTGAATGTGATGTGAGAACCTTACTTCTTAGGACTTAGTTTTCTGAGAAAGCAATACAATGATTTTTGGGGGAAACACTCTTTATACATATCTGAGCCTGTGCACTTTCCACTCCCATCTTCCATCACCTTTTGTATATTCTCTCATATTTTATTATGGTTATCACTAGAACCACTGCCCGCCAACCAACCACAGGCCCAGGTCCTTACCCTTATTGGGTTTTTAGACTTAGAACACATCTGCTGATATTTCTTTGTGAAATAAAACACAATTAAGAATGTTAGGGATATTATGCTTTATGTGGGATATATTTTATATATAAATGTAGCGTCTTTACTCTTCATGAAATGCTCATAACTCTGTGTGGACATTAAATGCATCTCTGAGCAGCCGAAGCTGCACTGTGGGGCTAAGAGGGTGCTGGGGAACCCGTCCTACCGAGTCCAACCATGTCTGTGTGTACCTTCTTAAAAGCAATTTCTAACTAGCTAAGACTGTTAATATTAAACTGTGAATTACAGGAAAAACTCACACTTAACCTTCCTTATTATCTGAATACTGAAGAGTTTAGATTTTATTGTTGGTTGCTGTTACTTTGCTAAGGAAAGATTATGGTATATACTGACACTGCCTATACTATTCTTAAAAAAATACGTATGACACTTAGTAAGCTCTGCTTACTACATATTATTAGTGGTTTTGAGTACTGGTTTGACAAGTACAGCCAAAAAACATAAGGACTTAGTGCAATGTTATCTGTGTAGAGTACTTGGGACAAAAACATAGGGAGACCAAGGAAAATTTCAGAGGCTACTCATGTTTATTAAGTGATTTACATGTGACAAAGTAAAGTGGGGGCACAAAACCTGAGTCAGGTCCCAGACCTCACATACTGGCATTTCACAGCCGGCCCGGCAACCACCGCTCGAGAGCTACAGTGCGATGCCCTGTGTGCCTCTCCCTGCACCTGCCCTGCGGTCAGGGAGCACTGCTGGCCCTGGGTCCGGAAGTCACAGGTGATGGGACGTTCACCCAACATTAATCCTGTACTAGAATAATCAGAAAAAATAAGACTTTAATACTGCACAAAATATGACCTTTATAGAGCACAGGCTCTCATAACTGCCTCGCAATTCCTCCCTTGCCAGAGTCTGACTATTTATGTCAATACAAGGGTAACAACATAAAACTTTGTTTTAAAAAAATAACTTTAACAATGGTCATTAACTTCTCCACAAAGACCATGGACACTAAGGCTATTTACATGGATTTTGGGTCTTCATAATTCAGAACTGTATATTCTGAGCTCACGGAAGATATCTCTCCTACAGATAAAGATATAACATATCTCTCCTTAAGGATACTAAGAGATAACCTGAGGAATAATCACTTAAAACTGCTGAAAAAGGAATTAAAAAAAAAAAAAAAAGAAAAGAAAAAAGGATTGGGAGTCCCCTAACTGGCAAGAAAGTCCTGGAACTGATTCTACAGCAGAGACTAGAACACGACCCAGCAGCCCTCGCCCCGCCATGCTGCAGGCAGTCTGGAAGCACGAGGTTCTCGGAGGAACCAGAATGGTTTTAGGCAGAAACTGCAAAAGTCGCAAAACCCAGTTTTAAGACAGGAACTCATTTCCACAGACAAGCATGCACCAGTCCACAATTCCCAGTTCTGCCAGAACATCTGTACCGATCTAATTACAAAATCTCAGCCTGGTTCTGTTTAGTCAGATATACTTATTTGGCTGCTAAAATACCATTTTGTCTCCACTGATCGTCTGGCCACTAATATAAAAAAGTACACATACTATCCTTAACACAGAACACTATAAGACCTAGCTTAATTTCTAGTCACTCACATTATGTATAAATCTGACCATTTAACACTGTGCTACTCCTGGTCCCACATTTTCCTGCTTCTGATGTTCTTGGAACTGCAAATGCCCAGCCAACAGGAAGATGTCTTCCTTAGATACATACATAGATTTAAGAGTTGGCGAAAGAAGCACCTAGAGTTATAGAGTAGAAATTCAAATGCTGTTTCTTAAAAAGTGAACTGAGAACTGAAATTTTAAACATGAGGAATTACCTTGTTTTAGAGCCTGATGAATTCAGGGATGTGTGCTGACCTGGGGTTCCTCTTAAACACTTTCAGCTAAATCAGGCTAAACAAGCGAAACATTTGCAGATTAAAAGCCAAAAGGCCAAGGGATACATGTGTTTACCAACAGAAGCATACATCACCTCCCTCGTCTCCCTGCCACCCAGACAGGGTCGGGCCGCCTGGCCAGGAACAAACCTTGCCTGGCAGTTTCCTCACAGAACAGCTTGGCGCCACACTGCTGAATGCTGTCTTGCTTTGTCATTTCAGTAACAGAAGACCCTCAGAGAAAAAGAAGTCTTAACCCTTTCATTGAAAAGTTCATTCTTTAATTCCACAGATACCCAAGAATGAGGCAGATGTGTTTTAATATATACTAGGAGAAAAATAAAAACTATATACTTTCAAAGAACGAACCTGTGTTTTACTTCAGTTTATAATAATTTAATGTGCCTGAGAATTATTGTGCAAATACATGTCATCTTCTTTAAAAATATGCATAGTGCACTTTGGAAAAAGTTGCAACCAACTTTTCTTACAAAAAAAATTATATAAATATACAACATAATCTAATTCTTATAGATTGCACTTTTGGCTTAACCCTTCCAGCCTCTAAGGAGACGAGAAGGACAGTTAGGGTTGTATTCCTTGGGCACTCCATTACCCAGAATATTATAAAAGCAAGGTTCCTTGGTTTTAAACGACTCATATTTTCTTTCTTAAAGTAAATTTCTAACCCTTATCCATGTTTTTTTCGATGCGGTATAAAAATACAAATTTTAAAAACAAACTTTTAGTAATCATAAACACAAAGGAATCTAGACGGCCTTTGGGTTCCCAGTGGCTTAACGATCTGCAAACAGGAGTCTGCACTTCAGGCTATGAAATACACACAATCCCATCCTGCGGTGCTGTGTGCACACATCAGACATTGGTGCAGTTCATTCAATGCAGATATCCAGACTTCAGCACAGGAACATGGGAGGTCTCATGGCTTCCCGCCACCGGGGCAGACCCAGCCTGCCACACTTGCCACAGCACGGCTTCGCCAGTAGTTTCCCAGCAGCTCTGTCTTCTTCCTGTCCTGGCAAGCCTCCTACTTGGCTCACTGGAAGGGAAAGTACTTCTGGGAGGTTTCAACATTTTGGAATTTATTCTCTGCTCAGTTTTTATTTTTAAGACCAGATAGCGCAACTGAAGGAGGCACTGAACCTTTTGTTTTCCTGTCTCCAGACACTCCAGGCCCATCCATTTATTTATTTTATTTTATTTTTGTCTTTTTCCTTTTTATCGGTACCAGGGATCGAACTCACGACTGCCTGCTTGCAAGGCAGGCGCTTATGCCACTGAGCTAAATCCGCAGCCCCCCAGGCCCATCCATTTACACTTCCAGTTTTCCAGCCTCTATCTCTGAGGACCTCAGCCTGTGTTCCCAACCCTTCATTCACATCCCTCTCTCCACATCCACAACCTTCTGCAACATTCCCTTTCTCTCCGGTCAGACCACACTGCCCTTCCTGTGCTGCCCTGCACAAGAGGTCGGTTCACACAGAGCCTCAGTCCTTCTTCGGGACGCCCACTCTGGGTGAGGACGTGCACACCAGGACACCAAAGCTCCCCATCATGACTGGGAGACTCTGATTTCTCCTCAGCCCACCCAGTAAGCTGCTACATGAATTTAAATACACAGCAGAGTCTGCTTTCTGAAGGCCAACTACTGCCTCCTGGCTTTTCTTATTCTCCTGTGCACTGGGAGCCTTGACCACTCTGGCTATGCCTAGCCTCTTGAGCCTGTCCACCAGGTTAATCTTCAGCTGCCCCACATCAGGAGAGTTCCGGGAAGGTCTCAAGCCATACATCTCCTGGAGGAACGTCTCAGCTGGTCGAGAAGCCAAAAAGTTTTCAGAGAGATGCACTGGGGCCTCAAGGGGCACCGGAGAGGGGCACGGTGAGTGAGATGGCGAATTTGGTGGAGTGGAAGGTGTGGCCAGGGTTTTGGGGAACAGCTGGAGAAGGGGCTTCTCAGAAACTGAACTGTGGTACACTTTAGCAGAGATGCCCCGCTCTTGCAGGAGTCTGGCCAGGCTCACAGTGCTGCTGAGGGTTGTGGTAGAGTCCCGTCGGTTAGTGATGGACTCCCCCGTGCTGAGCTGGTAGGTCAGGCCTGGGGAGTGCCCAGCAGTGCTGGATGAGGCCCTGCCTCTGCTGCCACAGGCCAGCGGCGGAAACCCCGAGCTTAAGAAAAAAAGGAAAGAGCGTTTAAGACCAAAAGCAATTGCATGCTAGTATTTAATTTTTATTAATGTCTCCATTCCATAAAGTATACACCAAGAAACGACAATCCATGGGTAAACAAGTCGAGCTTTTTAAAAAATACAATCCTTTGTAATGAGACCCAAAATGCTAAGAAGAATTTTATTTCTTAAGTTTTATACCACTAAGGAACAATAAATGTATTAAATTTCCATTCTTCTCAAGAAATTCTAGTTCCAAACAATGCTAATATCCCTGGAACCTTATTTGGAACATGTGCTTCTAGAAAATTAAATGTAATTAAAACTTTTGACAGCAATTATAGTATTTCTCATTCTATATTAAGAATAAAAATAGGAAATCTTGTACTGAAGGAAATGGCGATTGGATTTGAGTTTGAGGCTGCAACTGAAATAGATTTTTAGGGTGCCAGTGAAAGACTAAGTTAATAATGTAAAAAGCTCATCACTATTTATTAGTAACAAAGCATTTATCAACTGCCTTTGTGGTAAAAGTTCCTTAGTGTGGAAATGAAGATACACAGATTGTACTAGTATTTGCTTGTTAGTATGTAGTTGAATCTTTCTAAAATTTAAAACTAGTTTCTCCTTTAGCCAGTTTGCCGGCATTTAATAAACTTTTACTTCAATACAGAATACCACAAATTTAAGACTAATACATAAACTTTCTAGAACAACATTCAAGTGAGCTTTATCCTTTGCTGAAATCAACTGAACGAAGAACCTCGGATCTGGTGCAGCTAATACTGTGTGCCCATCTCCACATCCCCTCTCCTACTTCATCGGGAAACTGCCCATCCATTCCCACCTGAATACTTCATATGACTGCATCAACTTGTATTAAAATCTCTTCAAGAAGCAATTTTATTAAAGTTGGTGACTGTAAGAAAAATATGGAAGAACTGTAGGTGTATCTCTATAGATGTTTCACAGTTTATACATGAGGGTTCATGCTTCTACCCCTTGAGACCCTTGATTCTGGTTTCTGTTTTCTAGTTCTAGTTAACTTCCCTGCCATGGTCAACATACTTCCTGGAAGCTCCCTTAGCTTCCTTTGGGCCTCAGTAGGCTACAAACAGGTTACAAAGGAAGCCCTTGCAGTAACTGACTTGGCCTTGTCTGGAGAATCTGCCCTCCTCTTCTGAGAGTCAATCTATCGTAAATGTCAGGAGTGGCTTTGGTCAGAGTGGGAAATGGTCAAACTAGATTTTGGGATGGGCTGGTTATCCCCATTAACCACAGGGTGAGGCCGGCAATACCAGAAGAACCAATAATGTGATACAGAGAGGGTGCTTTGGGTCAGGCAGTACCAGTTGTGCTGCAGGCCAAAGCCTCAATCCCAATAAAAACTCTGGGCACTGATGCTTGTGTCAGTTCCCCTGGTTGGCAGTAGCCCATGTGCACATATCGGTGTCAGGAGAGTAGTGAATCCAAGGACAGGAACAGTTTCAGAGCAGAACACCCACAGACTGCCCTGTTATTTATTCTTTGGATAATTTCACTTTGTATTCTTTCTTAAAACAAGAGTAGCACAAGGATCACAGGGTTTTGAGTCCTATTACACAGTTTTAAGAATCCCATACCTGCATGTGGCATCAGAAACAAAGGTGGTCATGTGCACAGGCCGGTCCCTCAAATCTTGCAGACTGTCAAGCTCTGGGTCGTGCCATGAGCTAGCTGTCTGCCCCTAGATAAGTAACTTTGACTTTTAGGACTCCGTTTGTTCATTTTACAAAATACACAGTGTGTCCTGCCTGTTTCACAGAGTTTATTATAATCAAGTAAGAAATATGATGTGATATGCTAAAGACAAATGACTGTTGATTAAAATTCTGGGTATTAAGATACACAGTAATTTTAAAAAGAAATTCATGTGAGGCCCCAAATTCCCCAGCCCTTCTTACCTAGGGGTAACCTGAGTGATATCAGAGGGATGTAATATCCTACAGGTGGTGAAGGTGAATGTCGAGTTCGTGCCTGACAGACACTTTCCTGGGTTTGAGGCTGCAATTGAAATAGAATTTTAGGATGCTAGTGAAAGACTAAGTTAATAATGTAAAAAGCTCATCACTATTTATTAATAACAAAGAATTTATTAACTGCATTTGTGGTATGAGTTCCTTAGTGTGGAAATGAAATACATAGATTATACAAGCATTAGCTGGTTAGTATGTAGCTGAATTCTTCTGAAATTTAAAACTATAAATAAAAGGCATACAAATGTATTAAACATGAGAAAACCATACTCTAAAAAACAACAACAAATAAGACCTAGTCATCTAAAGAACCCAGCTGTAGTTTTCAAGTGTGGTCTGCAGACTGTGGGAGTTAACAGGTCAGAATTATTTTTACAGCAATGGTATGACAGGGCCTTTTCTTTCTGTTGGGGCTACATTTGGATTCTTAGTGCAAAAAGATCACAAATCAAGGATGTCATTACAGATTACACTTAAATTTGTCAGTATGTTTCCTAGAATGTCCTTGATTAAGCAGTAAAAATTACACACTGTATCTTTTTTTTTTTTTTTTGTCTTTTTCCTTTTTATCGGTACCAGGGATCGAACTCACAACTGCCTTCAAGCAGGCACTTATGCCACTGAGCTAAATCCCCAGACCCCTACACACTGTATCTGTCTGAATCTTTCTACTATGCTGGGTAAACAGAGGGCTGTATGTATGTATGAAGTACTCCTGCTGTATTACAGAGGTGATAATTATCTACACTTGCAGCTGAGCTGAAATTCTGTTATGATGGAACATCATTTTTACTTGAAAAAACAATAGAAACAATTATTTAGAATAGGATATTTGGCATTTTCTTTAAAAATGAATGAAATGAGCCTTGTTTCTTAAAAAAAAATTTCTTTTATGCCAGTGACACAATTTGAGCTTTTAAGTGAAAATCTGTACTGTCAATGGAAGCTTGAAAGCTTCCTAATACTTAAGACTTTTATGTTGGGAGACATGATGTTAATGTGATTTTGATAAATTACATATAATGAAATGTATTCACATATGGAAGATTTGCCTAACTCAGTAAGCCAGCATTTTCTTAATGACCAGTGTACATTACCAAATCAAGTATGAACAAAAGATTCATTGAAAGTGGAGGGTATCCAGTATGTTTTAATGTAACAAAGCATGAAAATTTACTGACAAAGTTTCAGTAGCGCATTGCTATAAATGTTAAAGAAATTACCACTTAGCAAGATTTAGTGTACTCCTAATATCAAATATCCATAATACCTGGAAAACACTATTAATATACTTTTTTTTTAGCTCTGTTGTGTGAGGCTACATTTTCTTCATACTGTTCATCCAAATATCATAATAGCGCAATAGACTGAATGTAGAAACCGACAGAATCCAACAATGTAGCTGTCTCCTGCTAAGTCAGGAGTTAAGGTTAGGGTTAGGGTTAATGAAACAAACAAACAAACACACACACACACACACACACACACACACACACATCATAAAACAAAGCTATTTTTCTATTTAAAAAAAAATAGCTGCTTCCCTAGAACACAGTATTTGTGTGGCACTTAATGACTTATAATTTATTTTTATCAAAATATTTTTAAATAAGCCAGTATTTTTCTAATTCTTTAGTTTTGATTTCTAATGTAGTAAATATCAATAGATAAAACCCACATAGATGAACCCTTTGGGACTTGCAAAGATACTTATTTATTTTTTTGGTACCAGGGATCAAACTCACCACTTTGTGCTTGCTAGGCAGACACTTATGCCACTGAGCTAAATTCCCAGCTCGCAAAGATTTTTAATATAAAGATCCTGAGACCAAAATGATTGTGAACCATGGACTAAATTGATCTCTCTCTGCCAAATATACTTACGGAGGCTGGCTAAGATGAAGTGGATAGAATTAGGGTTGTTACTAATGCTGTAGATTTTCACTACCATCACAATAAATATTAGTATTACATATAATGATCTATTGTAGCACAATAATAGTGGTAATAATACATCCAATACTGAGTACAGTTCAGTGAGACTAGAGAAGAGGTAGCTAGCTGACCACACAGTAAATATGAATGCAAAGTGCTTCTCGTTTCTAAGTCATATTCAACTCTCTTCTCACCTGTAACAGGTCCATCTGCTGAACTGATGGGTGGCAGGAAGATCCCTGCCACTGAGCTAAAAGCCTCTGGTTTCTGCTCCATCTGAAGAGGCTGCTGAACCTGAAAAGTGATTCCTTCCTCTTCATCCTCCTCTAAATCTGAGATGTGATAGATGGTAGTATCCTTGGGCAACTGGGTAAAGCCTTTAGTGATGACACCTGGTCTTGAGTCAAGAATGGTCCCCAAATTGGGTTGAGCAAGCTGCTGCCAATGATGTAGAGTTTGTGATCCTGAATACAGAAGCCAAAAGCAAATAAAAAGAGGTATTTTGTTAAAATTTGCAAATTAAAGTTTTCCATGGAAAACTAGTAAGATGAAGATATGAATAATCCTTCTCTTCAAAAAGTAATTTTAAAAAGGACATCTAAGGAAGGGGAGAAACAACGAAGAAGACATTCTTCCTAAAACCACGATGCATGATACTGTGTACCTCAGAGCAGGCATGTGTTTTCCCAGGTGATAAAAATCAACACTCGTCTGGCCTGGAACCAGGCATGTATGAACTTGGAAGTCAAAAGCCAAGGTACTGGGTTGGAAGACAACTTGGATTTTCAGTAATGTATCTGTATAGATCCCCACCCTGGTCAAGATTCTCCTTCCTCTGGGCTTCCAGGGAGAACAGGAAATAGAGAGATAATGAGAGAATATACCACTTGGTTTCAGTCTGAGGGATTTGGGTGAATGATCATCCCAAGCATTGGTACCAGATGTAACACTGAATTATGTCACCATGGTCATTTTATCCTAAAAATGGCAACTACACCTGCATCAAATTAAGTTTTAGAACCTCTGACTTTGTGGGGTCCTTTTCAGTTACCTACTCAAAGTTCTGTTTAAACCAGAACTGTTTTATGACACTGTCAGAGAAAGATTCAAAGATTTTCAATATTTTATATAATAAAGAAATTACTGTAATTTCAAGTTCTATCTTAGAAAAGAAACGGAACTGAAATAGAACTGAAAAAACAAAAATACAGGCAGACACACCTCTAAGTCAATTATATTCTTGAGTATTCTGGCTTAGATCTAGAAGAACTCCCCAAATCCTCATGTGGTCAGAGATGCGGTTTCTGGAAGGCAACCGGATCGTGGTGGCCCTGCACTGCTCATCAGGCTAATGAGTTGTTAGGGGTGTGACCTGGAAGGGGATCCCTCCTTCTCCAGCTGCTGACTTCTTTCTGTCTCCTGGGTGCCATGACTTGAGCAGCTTTCCTCCTCCAGACCCTTCCCTCATGCGCCTCCTGTTTTGGAGCTGGCCAACCATGCAGAGGCTGAGACTTCTGAAACTGTGAGCCAAACTACACCTCTACTCCCTTAAGCTACAGGGTTATACTTCAGCAACAAGGAGAGCGACCAAGACACTGCGTTAAGAGTTCATTTTTAAAGAAGGAAGGTGGATATGAAGTTACAACATTCTCATTTATCATTTACACTAATCTCACCCTGGAAAGTGTTATCAGTGATATTCTTTAGCAAAGGACAGGAAAGATTCCTCTTCCACTCTCATATTTATATGTGATGGCTGAGGACTTAAGAGAGTGTATACTATTCACTCACACATTTTCCAAGTCATGACTGCCCAAAGAGAGATTTAAGGGTGTCATGGTTTATGTCGGTGGCCCCCCAGGCCTCATGAGTTTGCATTGTGCATTTTTTTTTGGTCTTTTTTGTTCTTATCAGTACCGGGGATTGAACTCATGACTGCCTGCTTGCAAGGCAGGCGCTTATGCCGCTGAGCTAAATCCCCAGCCCTGCATTGTGCATTTGTGATTGGTTCATTGTCTAGTACTTGCATTAAAGGTGTCAGTGCTACACCCACAAAGGGGGAGCCAGGATGTAATGTAATGGCAGGAAGAAGGTGTGTCTTGCTCTTTTGCCCGTTTCCGCCTTGCTGTTTGCAGCCGCCATGAACTGTGGCCCTGCCATGCCCGCCTGCCTTGGAGCCAACTGAGTATGGACTGAAACCTCCAAAAACTGTACGGAATAAACCTTTGCTTTCCCAGCTTTGGGCTTCAGGTATTTTGTCTCAGCAACAAGTAAAAAGTAACTAAGACACAGGGTAACAAGGGGATCAATACACGGGTGCTCTTATTGCAACATGAATCTCAATTCTGGACAAAAGAAAGTCCAGAAAACTGCACGGCTTGGAAAGGATCCTTAATGGCTTATTACCTTCAAGGGGCTTGACAATTTGTAACTTTTCTGGCATAAATCCTCGAAGGCAACTGGCACTGCCGAGCTCTGTGGTCTCCGACTGGTTGGTAGATGGGGCAGCAAGGCTCTCTGGGGCGCTGTCACAATCACTAACCCCATCTTTCTGGTCAGCCAGAACTTGGATCTTCCGTTCCCACTCCTCAGCAAAGAACTGCTTCTCACTGAAGTAATTCTGCCGACGCAGGCTGAGACGATGCAGTGCTACAGCCAGGTCACTGTCTCCAGAGGGTCCTGGTTGGCTCGTGGGCTGAGAGTCGCTATGGGAGAATCATGTGCACTGATCAGACCCAGACCCTTCCTACCATGCAGCAGACATTCAAGACACAGTCTTAAAATGAAATATTTGCTTAGCTATCCAGAATACAGAAATAATAACCACTCACTAACCCCAATCACCAACATACTATTTATTTCTTCCCATTACTGGTGGCTGAACTCAGGACCATTGCACTGAGCTATATTCCTCTGTGTTTTTTTTTTGTCTGTTCTGACACAGGGTTTTGCTAAGTCACTGTGTTGCCCATAGTGATCTTCCTGCTTCAGCCTCCCAGATACTGAGTTTACATCATAAATCACTTTTATAGATCATTTTAAATGACTTCAGAGAGGCAAACAATATATTTTATTGTTATGTTGTGTTTGCTAGCTTTTCTATTTAATCTATATGCCCATCAATATATTTAGATTAGGTAATCATAAAAGTAAATATTCTCATATTTCATTAAATCTACCACTGACTGGAAGAGGTACCATTATTTTTTTTTTTCTTCTAAAATCTATGTGTTGAGAGGTACCATTATTTTATGCACTATGGAGAAAGAGAAAATGCTTCCCAGTAAACTATTAGATGCCAACAGTTGCAAAACAATTTAAAAAATACTAAAATGAGCCACTAAATTCCCCACAAACATTGCAGAAAGTTTAAAAGAGAATGACATTCGTATAAATACTGCACTTTCATAGTTCTCTGGTGCACATTGTTTCATATTTCAACATTTTGAAATTCGGAAAGCATCTTACACCTGACCCGGACGAAGGGCTGCCACTGCTTCTGGCTCAGGTGCTTCACTTATATCTGTCTCAGGGCCTCTCTTAGCACAGCTGTGAAACGGGGTGGGGTGCGGCCTGACACATAGGCTCCTGGCATTCAGGACACCGCCCATGACAGATCCGCTCGTGAGTCAGGGCCTCTCATATCAGAAAGACCTGCCCAAGATGTGAATGTCTATCTTGCTGAAGCTTTTGACCGATTTTCCTGTAAAATGGTTTAACTTCTAGGCTACGGAATTTAATGAACTAAATGAATGAAAAGAAAAAGTCTAAATGTAAATAAAAAACTTAAGAGCAATTTTGTACTTGGCAGTTTATACTTAAACTCAGTATGAAGCCCCCAAAGCACCCAAGTGAGATTATGAGTATCAGGTAGGAGAAAGTGTCACCAATGCATTTATGTTAATGATCAAATCAATTCAAACAATTTGTACTTTGAATGTGAAGCTATACACTTATATTTTGTAACACTGTAGTAGTAAAGAATTCTGAAATCAGAGGCAACCTCTTTTGAATACCTTAGTAAATCCATTCCAATAAATTTTATGAAATCAATGATCTGTCCTACAAATAATAATGCAATTAAAACAGAATGAAAACTGAGTCTGAGAATCTTCGTGGGACAGTACAGAGAAATGCTGGAATTTGATCATGTGACCCTCACACACCAACGCCATAAGCAATGCACAATTCCTGCCACAATGTGTCTTACTCAGGAACCTCTTTGGAGTTAGTCCCCTGGCCTGGCAGTGTTCCATCCTCCGTCTGCTGTACGCCAGATTCAAAAGGTTTTGTTGTCATGATGACGCTTGAACGGTTGGACCCTGGGATGGGTAGCAGAGCTGGGAGTGGGAAAGAGCGGCCCTGGGTGTCATTGGCAACTTTGACAGTATCAAACACCCGCTTCTGTTGGGCTCTGTCAAAAAAGGAAGCATTCATTACTACCAACACTCACTATCAGAGTGCTTGAGAAGAGTTGTGTTACGCAGTTTTGTAGAAAACAAATTTTAGAATAAGAGAACTGCTGTAAGGACAGTATGAAGAAAAAAATTGAAGGGTAAGCAAGTTTACTACTGAATTTTATTTGAACTGTAGCATCTGCAGTGCTGATGTAGGGCTGTGCAAAGGAAGTACTCTACTCTGTAGCTACATCTCTAGCCCTGTGGCTTCTTTTAAGTTTTTACACAGTGACAATTATGTGACCTATACTTACTTTTGTTTAAAGAGAGAAGATTCCTCATCCAAAGTCAACTTTTTCCGCATTGTTCCCTCAATCTCAGCTGCTAAAGATTCCTAAAAAGAGTATGATATTCCTAAAGTGATTATTGCTGTTAAATTGATTAAAAGAATCTCTAAAAGTCTTTTTGTTGTTATAATAAAGTAAACACACACAACTTATGACAATGGCTTTCTGTATTACTGGTCTGAATCAGTCTGAGGCCTACCTGCCTTGCTTGAGGAGCCAGCAGCTGGCATATGGAAACAGAGGCCCCTAGACCACTGGCCACAGTGGTGGGTGGTCTCAATGACCTATGATGCTGTGATGTCTCAGAAGACGACATAACATTTCAGCTGGAGTCTCTGACTCATGTATAAAATTCTATAGAAGTAACTATTAACCCAAGGGGAAAATACATTTCCCATTAATCAATGGCATATTCATGCAAGAACATCTTGTCTCGTACTAGACACTGCTCACGTCACAGCCTTCCACACTGCTGTTCCCTGGATCTTCCTACACGCTTCTGCAAAGTTGGGTACTCCATAAAAAATGGTAAGTTTGGAATTTCCGAGTTAGCCTGAAAAGAGCTCTGATCCTCTGGACCCTCTGGCATTCTCAATCCTTGTCTCTATTTTATTCTTTATACCCTCATTCAGATGACTGGGGGCCTGATCAGCCCCAGAGAGGCATGTGGATTAGATATACTGAGTTCATTTTCTGATAGTGACAGGTGTACTATGATCCTGCATGAGGATTCAGCAGGCTGCCCATGTGTTTAATGAACACACACTAAACTGAGATACCTAGGTGAGTGATATATATGAGTTCTTTGTATTATTTTTAGAAATTTGTCTAAGTTTAAATTTATTTCAAAATAAAAAATTAGAAAATAAAACTGCTGTCCCATCTGGCCTTCTAAAATTTTTTCAAAATTATATGTAAGTATTTAAGAAACAGGTTATAAATACCACTCTATGAGCCAAAAATACAAATTGCAGCATAAGCAGAGAAGTTTCTTATCACTCAAAAAATACTATCATTAATGAATTAGACATAATTCCTATTCTCACAGGGCTTACATTCTAACGGGAGTTAAATGTATTAGGAAACCCAAGATTTATTGAAATATGTTATAGATATTTGGAGTACTGTTTAAGCAAGTGGAAGATGGGAGCCAAGGATTAGAGGCAAGGTTAAGGAGCTCTATGCTAGATTTAGACCTAACTTCCTGACAGTTCCTCTCACTTGTGACAACACATCTAGGAGGTCATCTGTTAGAATAAGTAAGAACACAAGGAAGATGCAGACATGCAAATTAAAAACAAATCATGCTCTGTGAAAATCTTATCCTAACAAGCTTCTTTAAAATCACAGCATCTTCCTCAGTTCCTCACCCCAGTAAAAAGTCCGCAGGACTGGGAGAAGTACAGAGAAGCAGCAGGGCCACATCTACTACGCAGCTCCTTTATTTCTTCCTGGGATTCATGTAACATCCCCAGACACTCCATGTTCCTGTCTTGCAACTCATGCAGCTGAAAGAAAGGATGGTAGTATACTTTATCACTTTCACAAAACAAGATAAACACATTCCCCTGCGAGGAAGTGTTAGCTCCTCCAGGACCTGGCTGACTTTGTGAGTACCATTTAAATAGGAAGACTGAAGCAAACTATGCAAAGAGAATATATTATTTAAAAATGCCAAGATTAGGGGTGGCCTGGCCAAAAATATACAACAACAGGACTCTGCAAAACCTGAAACATAGCCAAGACAATCAGAACTGTCAATTCAATATTTAATGCTTCATACACTAAAAACTTGCACAGGAATTGTAATAGCTGTGGCCAAGTTAAGTTTAGCATGGTATTAATCTTTCTTTAACAGCACTCTGAAGTCTATAAATGACATAGTCTAGTTTGCATTTGATGTCAGGATACTGAATCATACTAAGAAAGTAGTTTTCTTCCTTTTGAGATTTATGAATCTTGGGATTCAGAACCTTCTTTTACAGTGAGATACACAGCCTGATAAATTTGCATAAGTTTTAATTGAAAAAATTTCAAGTGTAATATGGAATCACCAGTGTTGGGAAATTTTATTAAAAATGTATATTCTTTATTTATTATTTTTTGAGACAGGGTAGTACTATGTAATTCAGGATGGTGACCTAGACTCTATGTAGGCCAGGCACTAGGCTGGCCTTGAGCTCTCAGTGATCTTCTGGCCTCAGCCTCCTGAGTGCTGGGGATTACAGGTGTGTACCACCCCCTCTGGCTATTAAAAATGTATACTCTAGTCAGGCACAGTGGCATACACCTGCAATCCCAGCACTTGGGAGGCAGAAGCAGAAGCAGAAGACTGTCACAAGTTTGAGGCCAGACTGGGCTGCATAAGTGAGCTCACACTAGAGGGAGACCTTATCTCAATTCCCTTTCCTCACAAAAGTATATTTTAGCCTTCACTCTAGATCCAGTAAATTAGAAGTTCTTGGTGGTGGCAGTGGTGGGGCATGCTTTGGAATTTTCATTTTAAAACTTGTTCTCCCAGGTGACTGCAATGCTACACTACCATGAAACTATATCTAATATAAAAAATATGTACATAGATAGAAGCTAAGAGATTTTGTTATTTTTCTTGATGTATCTGCAGAAACTATTAGAAACTGTCCTATTTTAAAAACCAATGGGCTAGTTAAGGTAGACTGATAAAAGTGTTCTATTCTCCTGACGAATTTTATGAAAACCATGGTTTCTCCCAATTAATCAATGACATTGTTATTGTTAGTTTTATAAATAGGACTTTAAAAATGATTTTCTTTTTAGATCTTACAATTTCACTTTAATCTTTTGCTGTTGCTGCAGTTTTTATATCTAGTAATTCCCTTTAATAATTCTTATTCACAAAGACAAGGAAGCTCCTTAATCCTACACTCCTGAATCACACGAAAGAAAGGAAGAGTTTTTACCTCCATTGTCAGCTGGCGTTGAGCATCTTTAGATGCTTGTAGGTGAAGTCTTAGCTCTTCCTTCTCAATCACATGCTAGCAACACAGGAAAGGGGACACATGAGAACTTCCTGCACACCTAAAATATAGCTATCCTCTCCCTCTGAAAGCCATCTTAAGAGTTTACTTTTTATTTCTTAGGTGCAGTGTTAAGGTCTTGTCTTCCAAAAATTAACTAAGGGCAACAAAATGGGAAGAACACAAAACCCAAAAAGTGTTCAGAAGACAATGAGCACAAGTCAGTAAGTCACACCACAACTTTCCAAGGAAATCTGACTTCATTCCAGAAATAGTGACTTGAAAGTAGGTATTCATAAGATTTTAGATCAATTTTAAAAGGGCAAGACAGCTAGCACTTAGCAGAGTACATGGTACTAGGTCAGTGCTTAACAAATGTCAGCTGAACAAATAAATGACCCTACTTCTTTAAGTTTGTGCTGAAGATCTACAATCTGAGATAACAGAGAGGAGATCTCTTCTTGGTATCGAATCAGTTCATCACTCTTCCCTGACAATTCTTCAGTCATTCTGGACATCTGAGCATTTGTTTCACCTTGGAAAAAAAAATAAAAATTTAAAAATTAATATAAAGGTAGTTCAGGCATTGGCAGTTATCAGTCTACTGGCCAAATTCTGATTTATAACAAGCACTGGACTATCATGACTAGAATTTTCTTCAACATAAATCAGATAAATAAAAGACTTTTCTTCTGAGATAAGCTGATGCTGGGAATAGGAGAAAATACACGTAAAGACGAAAGCGCTAAAGTTTTGCTTAAGCTTTTTTTTTCTTTATAAAAGATATTTGTTCCAGTCTTTCTCATTATGAAAGGTAAAAAGGCTAAAAGGAGAGTTAAGTGAATCACATAATTCTGCAAATACAAAGAATTAATTTTATGTGAGTCTTTCAGAACTCTCCAAGACCTAAATAAAAGCCCACAAGTAGTGAAAATTAATTATAAAAAATCTAACAAAAGGACATTTCCAGAATGGAACAGTTACAATCTACGACAGCATGTGATGAAGCTACCAAGCTGCTTCTACAGCAGGGACTCTCTGGGATACTCAACAAAACCGAGCAGGCCTCAAGAGTAACTCTTATGGCTTTGGTGTCTTGTATGAATATGAGACAGGACCTGGGAAATAACAAACCTGACTGCATATAGAAAGTCTGACATCTAAATACAGAAAACCTTTTTCACTGTCATATAAAACTATTTTTTAACTGACTGAAAGCTTCTTAGATTTCGAAGGGTCACAATAAGGAGGCAACAGTCTGGAATTTTAGTTTTTGGGAAAGTCACGTCTTTGTATTTTAAAATGTTGAATAACCGTAACAGAAGATTCAATTATATACCTTCTCATTTTCTAATAGTCTTACTCTAAGGTATTTCATCGTGAGACCCACAGTCAAACTAAACTGACACGACCACATTATCTTTCAATAAAAAGACTGTATTTATAGCCAGGCATGGTAGTGCATGCCTATAATCCCAGGGGAGGCTCAGGCAGAAGGATTACTGTAAGTTGGAAATCACCCTGGGCCTCCTAGTAAGTTCAAAGCCAGTCTGAACCACATAGTGAAACTTGGTCTCAAAAAACAAAAGAAGTATTTAAAAAAAGACTATTTGTAGAGAAACTAAAACCAATGTTTTCCCATGATTTATTTTTAAAATATTAGTTGGTATTTTGTTTTGAGACAGGATCTCACCAGGTAGCCCAGGCTGGCCTTGAACTTGTGGCAATCCTCCTGTCTCAGCCTTCTGAGTAGTGATATTACAGGTATGTGCCACCAAGCACAGCGAAATCTTGCTTTAATTAACATTGCCTCAAATTATAATAGAGTCTTTTAAAGACTATTTCATTGGCATTTGGTAAACCATCATTGAATGTTAGGTTTTATGTAATTTTTTTTTGTACCAGGAATGGAACTCAGAACCTCATACTTGCCAAGCAGGTGTGGCAACACTGAGGTATATCTCTGGCCTATGCCACCTTTTAAGCCCTGTGATGAGTCAATTTTCAGACTTTGGCAAGTCCTATTCTCTATGGAAAGACACCCCCAGCAACTGAATGTGTGTTGTGCTTCTTTTCTGACATGTTATAAACTTATTTATAGAAATACAGGTCTTTACTTAATGATAATGACAATTAAAAAACACATTTCTTAAAAAAATACATATATCTTACTGGAAGTACAGGCTCTATAATAGACTGAGATGTTCAGTATCTGCTGTATTCATATGGGGCTCGTGCCTCAGAGTACGCTGGGGGAAAAAGTGTGGCCCAGTGTGGTGGAGAGGTGCTGGGACCTTGCAGAGGGCTCGTGGACGTGTGGGTGTCATGTGCAGCCTCTGGAAGGCATGATCACAGGCCTCTCTGAGTGTGTCAGTTCTCCTGAGAGCAGGCTTATGATGGAAAACCCATCCCTCCACATGCCCGGCTCCTTCTGCATGTGGTCCTTTTTCTTTCTCCACCAGGCTGCAACCCTGCCAGGGTCCTGCGCTAAGACAGGCACATGTTGTGGAAACTCCTTGGTCACCAGAAATCTGAGTCAAGTAACTCTCTTTATAAGTCACCTAATTGTTATAACAACAACAACAGAAAAAAACAGAATGAGATTAACCATTTTAAACTGCTTGAGATGCTGCTACTGAAATCACTGATCTGATTTTTTTCTCTCAACAGGGTCTCACTATGCAGTTTTGGCTGGCCTGGGGCTCACTTTGTAGTCCAGGCTGGTCTCAAACTTGCAACGATCTACCTGCCTCAGTCTCCCGAGTGTTGGGATTGCAGGAGTGCGCCACCATGCCTCGCTTATTGATCTAATTTTTTAATTAGAGATATCCGAACAAAGAATTGCCCAAAGCCTATCAAACAGTATGTTCCTACTTACGGAGTTCTTTAACACAGTCGCTGACAAGCTGCTGTTCCTTCTCTTCATAGGTAAAAGTTTCCGTCTTGATATCACAAGCCTTCAAGAAAAAAGTGTGTGTAACAATACCTTCTAACAGTTTTACAGCAATAACCACAAAAAGCTTTGACATTTGAAGATTAGTGTATCACTTATAAAAGAAAAAGAACCTATTTATCAAGCTTTATCTACCACAAAATAAAGGCATGAAAATGGATGTGACAAGCATCTCTCTTGCTTCACCCAGGACTTACACAAACTTATGCACACCCTGTAAGTTGTATCTCTGTTGGATGAGCCTGTAGCTTCGGCCCAATGTTCCTTGTTTAAACATGACTTCCTTGATTTACCCTACTATTCAAGCTCACAGAAACTTGCAACTTTCTAACACAGCTCATCTCTCAGTTATTTAGCTATTTGTGTAGACTCCACAAGATGCACATCTCCTGCTGTAGCTATCCTATCTAACAACCTATTACCCACTTTTCAGTGGGTTCCAGGTAACAGTGGAAGGTACAAAGTTCCTTGTCTGCCATCCCTACCTGGAATGCTATCATGTTTCATCTCAGTACTCTCTGAAGCACAGTTTTATAACCTCTGCTGTACAGGAATCTCAGTACTACCTGGACCTGAGTCTTACAGCCTTTGGAATAAGGAAAATAAGAATTGAATTGCATGTACTTTGGACCGAAGGGCCCTGTTCTCTTCTTCCAGTTCCTTTAGCTTTTCTTGAAGCATATCCAATTGCAGTAAACCCTGAGATAAACTAAAGGACTCATTAAACCGAAGAGGTGTAGAACAGCTAGAATCAGTTTCACTCTCTTCAGAAGCAATGGAGACAATTCGAAGTAACTCTTCTTTCTTGGACAGCTCATGTTGCAGCTGATTAACCTGTTCATAAAAAGTGCTTGATTAAAATGTTCTTTATCATGCATTTGCTACATATAATATAGCTTCTAATTTATAAAACATTTTTTTACCATGAAAAAAAGATTTGAATGACTCTGGGGGACAAGCGCTAACACAAGAAAAACAGTCTGGATACTTCCTAGGCTTCATTTTAGACCATTCACTCAAAAATACAACTTTTCCTATAGTATAGTATAGTATAGTACAGTATAGTATAGTATAGTATTGTATTGTATTCATACTCTTAATAAACAGGAATATAGCCAAAAAATCTGTACTGAAGATGATAAGGCTACAACCACAATTGAAAACAAAACTGAAAAACTAGCCAGGCGTAGTGGCACAGTCCTATAATCCCTGCACTGGGAGGCTGAGGCAGGAGGATCGTTGAGAGTTGGAGACTAGCCTGGGCTACAAAGTGAGTTCAAGGCCAGCCTGAACTGCATAGAGACCTTGTCTCAAAAAGACAAAAACAAAACAAAGCAAAACAAAACAAAACACTGAAAATCTTTTCAAGAATCAGAATAGACCTACTTTAAATTCTCATCCTCGGAGCTTGCATCTGTAAATTGCATATAACTGTGCATCTCTTCCTAGGTGCATTGATTTTAGCTTCAGGGAATAGGTGTTTTCAACATAAAAGTCTAAATACTATCAACCATAATGTATTTATAAAGTAAAACTGACACCAGATAAAAATAAATCAGAAAGTTTGAAATGTAAACATTCAAGTTGACAATAAGTTAATTTTACTATATACATTTTTGATAAGGAATAAAAGATTTTCAAAACTTTTCTACCATTTGTTTTTGTTTCTAAGTAAAGATACCTTACATTTGGGTACTTATTTTTTTCTTTTTAGTTTATTTCCCCCCTTTTATTTTTACTAGGTACTTATTTTTTTAAAAAATAACTTTAGGTTTGGGGATATAGCTCAGTGGCACAGTGCCTGCCTGGCAAGTGTGACATCCTGAGTTCCATACCCTGTACAAAAAAAATTTTAAATCAGATCACAAAGTACACAAAAAAGAGGTGGGATTGGCAGAGGAACCTAACTAAGCAGAATGCCACAGGCACTATGACACTGAAAGTCACCCAAATGATCTTCTATATAACTTTACTCTCTACTGTTTAACTCAATGGCTGCCAACAATTCAACAGGTATTAGTGTTACTGACCTACTGTCACCATTTCAGGGATGCCTGTGGAAAAGACCTTTCCCACAGCATGACCTAATCATCTTAATCATCTTATGGTATGAATGTCACATCCAAGGCTTACTTGATCAAAGGCCTGCCCCAACTGCTCCTCCAGGGTTTCATTCTGCTCAGATAAGACATGATTCCGCTTTAAGAGAGCTTTTCCAATTCGAGCAGCTAGCTCCAGGTCACGATCTCTCTGTTAAAATATCAAATACACCTTTACTTTGACAGACAAAATTAGATGGCAATTTAGAAATTCTGCAGTCAATTTTGATGCAGTCAAGTAATATGCTAGAATGCACCAAGACTCATTTTAATGCTGAGATACTGCAAATATGGCCAGGTACAGTATTTTAACAAATGCTGGTCAAATGGATGACACAATAATTATATATGCAAGAAGGAATCTTTCTTGACATCAAGTGAGATTGTCTTGATTATCATATCGTAGGTATTAGAACCCAACAGCTCAACCTTTAAAGTTTTATAACCTTAGGGAATTAGGAAACCAACATCACACACACACACACACACACACACACACACACACACACGGCAACACTGACTTTAAGGAGTGGGGAAAGTTGGGGCTATCGTTCAATGGCAGAAGTGCTTAGCATTCTGGAATTCACTTTGCAGCGTACAGACAGACACATACACACACCCCATGTGTAGGAAGCATGGCAACGACATAGAGTGAGGTCTTTACTTCATAGGAGCCAGGTGAATGGTGGAAACAGTTCCATCTAGGGCAAGCTCACATGTAGTCAGAGCCTGTGGTTTAGAAGGCAACACAGTGGAGCACTCTGCTGATAACTGATACGAGAATGACAATATGAAATAAAACAGGAACAAAAAATTTGACTTTTTTATTCCTTCTGGTACCAGGAATCAAACTCACAACCTTGCATTTGCCAGGCAGGCACTGTGCCACTGAGCAATACCCCCAGACCAAAAATGATATTCTGAGGTTACAGGATTTGGCCTAGACTACAGAGCAGGAACGACAAAGTTGGTATGGCACAGAAGGCCTGCAGGGAGGCCGTACAGGGTCTACTAAGAGTTACTTGTTGGGTAGATGGACACTTGGCAAGGGCATGAGACCCCCTGTGACACCGTAACCACAATTTTATTTACAGGATGAAAAACTGTCACTCTACATCTGCTTTACAGATGACTGTGGGTTCCACTTATACAACCACTGAATGGATAGAGTTAAGCTTTTCTCCTCCCTCTACATAGCACGTGAAAATAGGTGGATTATCTCTGCACTGCCAGGCCATATACCTCATTTAGTTAAGTGACACACATGGGAATCATTCTGGGAGCTGGGAGGAAAGGACAGAAGTCCACACCACAGAGAAAGTCTTCTATAAGGTCAAGTGAAACTGAGTATAGGAGAGTATCTTGACTGCCAGTTTTACTAATGTACATGTTAAAAATGTTATAGATACTTGGGAGGCTGAGGCAGGAGGACTGTTCCAAGTTCAAGACCAACTAGGGCTACAAAGTGAACTTGAGACTGGCCTGAACTAACTACACAGTGAGACCCTGTCACAAAAAGACCAAAAAAAAAAAAAAAAAAAAAAAAAAAGTCACCGACAGGGTGAGCTCAAAGAGTGCAAGTTGAGAATAAACACAGGTGCTGCTCCCACCTGCCCACCTGCAGGTACTGGTCTGCAGTGGAGTTGCAGCTCTATCGCAGGGACAATTTAAAACCAATTATCTTCCCTAGGAAAGGAAAGCCAACAGTACCATATCAATCAATCTTCCTATCATCTATAATTTCACTATGAACTTCAGGAACCATCTACCCTGGAATGCCACTGTATCCCAGTTGTTCCAGCTGTGACTACCTTATACATAGTAACACAGATCACACACCTTCATGACTGATATATAAATTTGACAGTTTACAAATGATCTCCAAGTTTTTATTTTTTGTACTAGAGAATTAAAACGTGTTCCTACCTCTGCCAGGAGATGTGTAACCATGTCGATGTCATTGTATGTTTTGGTCATCTGTTCAACCCTGTCTGTGCCTAGAACTAAAACAGTTAAAAACAATTATTTACAGGCCTCAGAAATAATAGGTAGTTTAAAATATTTATAAAAACTTTAAGATAATAATGACAAAAACTTCTGGCTTTTACCAGAAGTAATTTAGAGAAATAAAAAGGTATGAAAAAAGAATGGATTTTAATGTATTAGACACTCAGGAAATAGACCAATCACTACAGAATGTACATCGCATGATAAATCAGATGACCACAAAGCAGTCACCTCTTGACTACCTTCCTCTCCTCTGGAAGTGTAAGAAATTTGGTCCACTCACATCTGAGAAAGATAGCTGAGAGAACAATGCTTTATATTCTCATTGAACCTAGAGTTACTGAAGACTGAGTTAAAAGACAAAAAAAATTAATTGGAATTCTCCTAGGATTACCTTGATCACATAAGATCATCTATCATGGGACCTAATGCAAGCAAGGAACAGAACTTGTAAGCCTTTTTGTCATTGTTTTGAACCATAATCTTTTTAAGCTTAATTAAAAATCCTTTATGTGTATAGTAATATATAGTATACTAATTCACATCTATATTTGCTATAAAGTAAACCATATACCATATTATTACTTGTATAATTTAAGCCCAGAATTTTGATACCTTGAAGTTTAGGTTATCATCGATGTATTTAGATAAAATTAGCTCAAAAAAAAGAAGAGTAAACATAACTCCATAGCACCCTTACTTGTATCTCCTAAAGCTAAAGCTATATAACAAAACTCTTTTGACTCTGAACACATTACAAGTTACTCAAGTGTGTGCATGGATTTGTTTGAGTTAGATTCATAATAGTTTGCCCGAAGTGTAAAAAAAGGCTCTGAAACAGAAAAGTTGAATTCATTTATTTCAGTGAGCTTGACTAAGTCACCTAACTCTTCCCAGATTTACAATATGGAAGCAAGAATCTTGCTGTTAAGATACAAGGTCATTACGAGGATAATCATACCACAACAAGGCATCTAGTAAACTGCTAAATACCACACAGCAGTTTATAGTTACTGCTCCTTAAACACAACTGGTAGGTATGGAATGGCTTTGAGTCTATGCTCCCTGTAAGGAGGTCACTGAACTAGCAGCGCACACTATGACTGAAGTCTTCGATAGCTCCTCAGTCCCATGGTAACACTGTAGGGTGCCCAAAGACTGCAGGGACAACTCTTCAATATCCTTTATTCTTACCTCAGATTTAGTTTTCTTCCTAGCACAACTAAAATGCATGTAGGGATTACCCACAGTTTATTAGTAACTTATTTCCCATTAAAAATAAAATAAAATGCTGGCTCAATGGTAGAAGGAAACAGATAAAGGCCTAAACTGAAAATACAGAGTTTTTAAGAATAAGCTTCTTAAGCATTTTTACTCCAGAAGAATTTATATATTTATAAGACAAGAAACTGGCTCCTTAATCTAACCACAATGTTAAGAAAAGAGGTGTTTGGGTGAAGGAGCTGACAAGCTGAATAACATGGCAAGGACAAAGGGTCACAAATGAAATCAGGCACCATCAGTGCTTTCTTCGACTTCTACTTCAATAACACATTAAGAGGGAAAATCAAATCAGTATGTCAGTGCTCTAAACTAATTACAGAAAACCAGCTAATGGTTGCAAAACCAAAAGTAATCAGGAGCAGAGGCGCTCAACTCCAGATTCAGGATTAACCATCTAGAGCCGCCTCAGGACTGGGGTAACAAGAAGAGTCCCAGGTGTTATGATGTGCAGCCCAGATGAAAACCACCAATCCAGGGCTAAATGACACCTGAAGCAAGACCCTAGAGCCCTAGACTCAGACAGTCTAAAAGGACATGGCACAGCACATATGGTTCATCAGAGTGAGGGCCAAATAAACTGAGTATGAGGGCCAAAAACTGTGACCGTAAGACACTCATGACAAAAGGGGAGAAAAAGGACACTAACACAGTGAATAAATATGTAGAATGAAAACATTTTAAAGAGGAAAAATGAAAATATATCTCCTATTACTAATGCTCTCCATTTGTCACAGTATAAACACTTAAGTTATCTAGTTTAATGATTTCATTTTCTTTCGTGAAAATCTTCTCTGAGAGGATTCATGTGGCTTAACTAAGTAAGCCTTAGTGGCACACTAAGGATTTTAAAATACAGGTGATAAGGCCAACTCACCATAGTCAGAAAAGCTATGGCTCTTCCTACCATGCTGCTGTTTCTACCACAGCCACCCTAAGATACAAAAGCTGTCATCTAATGAAACACCAGAGTGCAGTACATATATGAACACGTTATAAAATAGCACAGAACTCAATTTTGCTTTATAAAGTGGGAGTATAGCTATATACACCTGCATGCAATCAAGACTGGAAGAACAGATATTAATATGGATGGGCTTTTCTATTTCTGATGCTACTCTGGATTGAAACCAGGGCACTTTATTACTAAGCTACACTTCCAGCCTTTTTTTAAGTTTTGAGACAGGGTCATACTAAGTGGCCCAGAGGGAATTGAACTTGCCATCTTCCTGCCTCACTTCCCAAAGTGCTGGGATTACAGATGTGTACCATTGCAGCTGGCTTTCAACTATTAGTAGTGGTTATCTCTGTGTAGGAATTATGGTTGATCTGTTGGTTTCTGTTTTTTTTTCCCCCTTGCTAGTTTTCCACGAAGAAAAAATGTTTCTGCAATTGGAAAGAACAAAACAGTAAGTCTGTTAAAAAGGCTTCAAATATAAGTAATGAAATGAGTTATTTAAATAGTTATTATGATAAAAAAATTAGTGCAACCATAACTGTCCAATTATTGTTTTATGTAAAACAGCCTAAATACTATTAAACCCCAAAGATTTGCCACTGCAAAGCTAAAGGCTTGCTCTTTGTCAGCTCTGCAGTGCTCCCCCTTGTCAGCGGTCTGATACAGACACATTGTCTGTAGGACTCCAAAAGCACTCAGGGAAAAATCTCACAGCTCTCCTGGCACTGAACACAGTAATTAAATGCTGCAGAAGCCATGGACCAAGACTGGCCAGCAGGCTGTCTTTATTATGATCAGTTCTATCAAAACCTAACAGTTCACAGCCGCTGAAGTATGTTAAATTGTGCACAAATAATCAAAGAATCTTGCTTATTTCTACACACACTTTTCTAACTCTATAGATTGGGAAATGATAAACATTTTTATAGAACAATTTGTCACTTGATTTCTGAAGGTGGTTTACTAATGTTTGGAGAATCTAATGTTTCTGAAAACACGGGCTGGGTAGTAGACATGAGCACTGTACTGATCCTTATTTTATGCTTGATCCATGCTTACTTTCTTACACTATGTCCAGGAGCACCAGTGTCACTTCATTCTGCTTGTCATTTACAATAGTGGTACATGACAGTTCCTTCATATGTCCCTTTCCAAGATATGGAGTTTTTACCACAATTTCTTCATTTTTAAAAAGAATTTCGGGCTGGGGATTTAGCTCAGAGGCATAAGTGCCTGCCTTGTAAGCAGGCAGTCGTGAGTTCGATCCCTGGTACCAATAAAAAAACAAAAAAGACAAAAAAAAAAAAAAAAAAAAAAAAAAAAAGCTGCTTTTGAACTAAGGAGTAAAAAAACCCAAAATGTGTAAATTTTGTTGTAAAAAAGAGAGGGAAAAAAAGAGCTCTAAAGGATACAATAGCAAGTGTGTTTAGGGGTGTTAAATAGCTGACCATATTAATGTTTTTGGTTGGATCATTGAACACAACTGTTTGCAGTCTCACTGTTTGAATGTCCACTTTGTATGCTTTGATACTGTGATTTGCGCAACTATCTCTAAGATGATAATGTGTAATCTATTAACTGGTGATTTCTTACTGTTTTTTTTTTTTTTTTTTTGTAGTTCTATATTACTTGTACCCTTATACCGCTTTGTTTTGTTTTTTCTCTTTTTCCTTTAAAAAAAAAAAAAAGAATTTAATCATTACTTTCTAATCTTTCCATAATAACCCAAACCAAACCAAAATAACAACAATAACAAGAAAATAAAACACAGACACTTCCAACATGCACAGTAAAAGCTGCAATAGCTCCTGAAAATGACAGACAGGGTGAGTGGTTTCAAGCTGAAGGAATGCGGCTCTTCTGCTATAACACAGAAGACAGCGCTGCAGTACAGAAAACTGCCTTCTGAAAAATGGAGACAGAGCAAAAGGAGACCAAAAATGTATCCAGGCAGGCTGTCTTTCTCAACAGGGACGCTGGGAGAAGTAAACCCTGAAGACAGTGACTGAGGGACAATTTCCCTAATTCTCCCAAAGAAGGTACAAAGCCAGGACATAATATGTAGGTCAGACGATTATATGGCAGATGTATCGAGGCACACGCTTAATCCTCTTGTGGAATCAGCTGAGGGCTAAATCTGCTAGCCTCTCGGACCTGCCTGACATTTAACACTTTCTGAACACTGTCAGTCATACTTCTTTTCATGCTAGTACAAACTGATAATTTCTGAAGGTAGAATGAGGGAAAATGTATCAGTGAAGCAATAAATCCTGTAAGTGTATTTACCTGTAGAATTGTACATCCTTCCTAATTCCTTTTCTTCAATTAATGTCTCTGTGAAATAGCCATTTGCTCTGGTCTACAGCACTTTGCATCATTGGTTCTCGAACACAAGTGCATATCAGCATCACAGGGAAACACAGTAGTGGAGCCTAGTGGGTCCCAGCCCTGGTGCATCCCACAGTGTGGCTTTCTAGCAAGTTCTCAAGTGGTACTAATGGCGGGGGTGGCACAATTTGAGAATGACTGCCTGAAATAAAACTTGTAACATCAGTCATTGTCCCTTTCTCTTTTTCCTATGCCATAGAGAATAGTCCTAGTAACCTTTTTTTCTCAAATAACACCCACAAGCCTATTTCTGACCTTTTCATCAATAGATGGTACTTCCTGTTCTGTGTGTTTGGAAGGCATAATTCGCCCCCACAGCTTGCTGTAGCGCTTGCCTTACTGTAGTAAAATGAGGAAAACCCTGGATGACCTGTCTATGTGTAAGCATTCCTTGAGCACCTTAACCTTCATGAGTGTGTATAGCAGTACTGCAGTCACTATGGTCCAGGTAACTTCAGAGAACTTTCCCCTTCTTCATTCATATGAGGTAGGTGCCAACTTCAAAGGCCACCATGTTTCCTTGTAACTTACCATTCTCTTCTGACAGCTCCTTCAGCTCCTTGGGCTCCACAAGGGTAACGTGCCTATCCTGGGCCACCTCTTCTCCTCAGTTATTAAAAAGCAGGTTAGTGAACACACAGATCCACCAGTAATGAGGGAAGGAACATATGGGCGCATGTAGGAAGCTGGGGCCAAGCCTTGGGATGGCCCACCGGGGGTGTAAAGTTATCCAGAGTCACAAATGTGCAACTGGGGGACAGAACACTGTGGGAAGAAGGGCCCAGGTACAGCTTAGCAGCATGGGGCTAGTTTTGCAGACGTGAGGTTCTGGGTTGGATCCCTAACACAAAAAAAGAAAAAGAAAGACAAAAAGGCAGACAGACGGATGGACAGAAGGAAGGAAGGAAAGAAAGTGAGAAAGAAAACAGAGCAAAGAAGGTTCTGTGTTTTTGCTTTTTAAACTTTGCTCAATCACATGTACTAATATAGATAAGAATTAAAAATAAATAAAAATAAACCTCGCTCAATTCCCTAAGTAAAGTAATCACTTATCTTTTATATTCATAAGAAGTATATTCATAATGTGGCTTACTTGATTAAATTAAGTCAAAGACTTAATGTCTTTAAAATGATAGTGAAATTAAAATATAGTGCAGAGATAAAGTATTAGTGAACCCTTACTTAGTTGCTTCATGCTCTAGATCCATCTCCTACAGTTTCATTTTCAAATTACTGAAGCAAAAATAATACTGGGAAACTATTGGAAGAGGACTTTTTCCCAGAAGTTGGACGTATAGGCTTGTATTATACTATTAATCTCAAGTTTAAAATCACTCCCTGAAACACTGGGTGTTTTTTATAGTCTTGAAAAGTAGTTTAGAATTTTTTATACCTTTTGTTTTCTAGTCTTTTTATTTAAAATTTCATCCTAAAAGTAACTCCATTAAAGCATGATCCCAAGACATGTAAGTGTTAGCTCTACCTTCCACCTCCTGCCATGTGTCTTATAGGACCAAGAACAAGCAGGTGGTTCTTTTTGTGTGATTTATCAAAATAACAACAAATTAAGTTTATCCTAATAAAACTGCAGTTTGACAGTTTTTCTCAAAATATTTATAAACTCAAAAAAAGACAAAAATGGAAATAAAAAATATTCATTTTAAAAACATCTTCCAGAGGGGCTGGGGATTTTAGCTCAGCGGCATAAGTGCCTGCCTTGCAAGCCAGGCAGTCGTGGGTTTGATCCCTCGTACCGATAAAAACGAAAACAACAACAACAACAAAAAAATCGTCCAGAAATCTGAAGTAATTTCTCAAAACTAAGAATTTAAGAAAATTTTGAAAATCTTAATTTAGCTTAATTCAGTTAATTAAAAGAAATATTAAGGATACAAATTGTTTTATTTGAACTTCTTGATATTTCAAATCAAATTTAAATAATGTTTAGAATCCCCCTCATCCTCCAACTTGTAGGCAGTAAGTTCTAGAAAACTATAAGAAAAGCCAGGTATGGTGGTGCACGCAGCATCCTGGAGGCTGAGACAGGGGAACTGGCATGAGTTCAAGACCAGCCTGAGCTACACAGAAAGATCTTGTCTCAAAAAACCACAGAGAGAAAGAGTGAGCAAGAAAGAAAACTGTAAGAAATAAATAAATTCTAACAGTGCCTGGTTCTAGGAAACTACCACTTAAAGCAAGCTAATGATTACTATGAAAATCAACATTGCACAATAATCATTCTGGATTAAAAACATGGGAGCATTTGCTGGGAAAACGTCAAGGACCTGGTGCAAGCTCATATTTAATTCAAATGAATTTCACAAACACACCATTGTTAAACTTAATATGTTAGAACAGTACTATGCATACATTTTTATACTGCAGTAAAAAAAGTAAAACAAGTAAGTTTAGTCTTAATGCAGATTTTTGAAAGGAGAATAAAGTGGAAACAGGTCTTTATATTTCAAAGGTTAGCTCTAATCTTGTCATTTCTGACAGCCTGGTGTGAGATCTATTTTGAGGACAATCCAGTTCAGTTCTCGCTGAAACATTCTCTCTGGATCCTTCTGCATTTCTTGCTGGGATAGTAAGAACTACTATATCTAAGAACTCTGGTCCTTATTGACTGACATAATTTCTGTGACCATATTAAATAATGGAAAATAAATGCCAAAAAGGGTACCAAGCTATTGGAATTATACATGGTGACAACTACATAGGGATATTAAAATTTCAAATAATTTCACTAATTTTTTTTGGTACTGGGGAATGAACTCACAACCTTGCACTTGCCAGGCAGGCACTGCCACTGAGCTATAATTCCGGAGCCTATTTCACTAATTTTTTAAAAGTTCTTTTTTTTCTTCTCAGCCTGTAGAAGGTATCTACTACAAGATGGAAGAAATGGAAATGTCCATGTATGTCTGCAACCCTGTTACTCAGAGCTGCTGGGATGATAGCCTTCTTGTACTCAGACAACACTGGCTCTCCCTGAAAAAACAGTTACAGCACCAAAGCAGGCAAATGCCAAACAATCACCAAGTGTCAAAAGTCTCAAAAGTCATAGTCTTTTCCCCTGGACAAACTCTAACAGGGTAAAAACACTCACTCATGTATCGGAAAGTCTCTTCGGCAAGCACTGGGGAGAGGGCATCAGATGCATGCTGCGGCTGGAGTGGCGACTGTGCCCAGTCCTGGTTCTCGTACAGAAGGAGTGAGTCCACCCTTAGCTTGTACTGGGGCAGCTGCTCCTCCAGCAGGTTCACCAGTTCCACTTCAGGGAGGTCCCCGTCAGAGCAGACATCTGGGGGAGAGCACACGTAAATGAATCCTATACATTTCAGTTTACCAGGCCGTGCCAGAACTTAGTTTTTGAAGGAAGAAAACCAAAGAAACATTAGACAAGATCATTCCTCCACTGACTGCTGTTCATCTTCCTCTGGATTTCTTTGAAAGGAGAACTTCTCGAGTAAAAATCATGCCACAAAATTTATACACTATCAAAAGTCTGTTGCTTAGTGACTATGTTTTTAAAAGTTTAATATGAATTGGAGCCAATTTCTTATCTCTTCTGTATCTTATCTCTTCTGTATTTTTTGTCTGTTTGGTTGTTTTTTTTTTTTGAGATATAGTCTTGCTATGTAGTAAGCCTGACCTTGAACTCACAATGATCCTCCTCCCTCACCCTCCTGAGTTTATCAATCCTGCCTACTTACATTGTGGGCAGGAGACTGAGGGGGAGCAAGACAAACCAACCAGCAGAAAACAGTCAATTCAAAAGGGGCAAAATTTAATGAATTTTGTGGAAAAAATTTTCAAAATCTATAAAATTATGTACATGTATATATAATGTATGTTTTATGTACATATAAAATTATGTAT